TTCGCGAAACGTCCCGCTTTTAGGCACTGGGTTTCTTCAGGCTCCTTACAACTCATTGAAGCCCGTCGATCTACTCGGGGTGACCGTGAGTTTGACCACAAGCTACGACTGTTACGTAATGAAATCGGGCGAAGCTTGTTAATGAGCTGGAAGCAGCAGCTGCATCTGGTAACTACCGGAAGCTCTTCCGACTTATCCAAGCCACTGGCAGCAAGAAGTCTGATGTGAGCGGAACAATCTGCAAGGATGATGGGATGCTAATCACTAACATCCATCGACGTCTTGAACGGTGGGCAGAATTTTTCGAAGGGCAGTTCAACTGGCCTCTGCTCCGGCAACATCGGTCAGACTGTCCTGCCCTCCATGGCCGGTGGCGACTGATCCACCAAATGAGGCGGAAGTCCGCAAGGAACTCCAACTCTTGAAGCGTTACAAATCACCTGGCCCAGATGACTTACCTCCGACTCTTTTTAAAGATAGTGGTGGCTTTCTGACTAAGGAAGGTTTGGGAGCTAGAGAGTGTACCAACGTCATGGAATGAGTTGATAGTTGTCCCTATCTTTAAAAAAGGTTCATGTCGTTCCTGTAACAACTATCGTGGGATAAGTCTACTTCCGATTGCGTCCAAGCTATTGGCTTCCGTCATCCTTCGTAGGTTGTTCAAAACCCGAGAAAGATTGACTCGCGAGGAGCAGGCTGGGTTTCGTTCTGGTCGAGGATGTATTGATCATATCTTCACCCTCCACCAAATGTTAGAACACCGCCATACTTTTCAAAGGCCAACAATCGTAGTGTTTCTTGACATCAGGGCTGCCTTCGATTCGTTGGATAGGACTGTTTTATTGAGAGATCAAAGTAACCAATTTTTAAGCTAGAAAGAAAGATATATTCATAGGCTGCTACATGTTATCAAGATTATATCATCATACAGCCATAATATTATCAAGATATACAACTTTTTACCACTCGAATGACGCTGTCTGAAAAATAAGTTAATTGAAGGTTTTGGCAAAGTAAAACGTAACCAAAGTGAGGTGTATAAGGGGTTTTGTACTGACTCCTCCTTGAAATTAAATGTATATAAAATTGTACGTTTGTGAAAAAATAAACTGAACAGAACAAAATATGACATAGAAATTACCGAACTATACAAAATTAAAAATTAAAATTAAGCCACCTTGTTAGCTAGTATTTGTTAGTACGTCTGAGTTCGCGCACGTCCTTGAGGTCAGATAAAATGATGACTAAGAACAAAAACGATGAGGCACTGTTTTTAAAAGATTATACATATAAGCATGAAGATGTGCAAAACCTGTTGAATTTCATATTAGATAGTGTAAATTTAATAACACATACGTACAAAACAGAGAGGAGGAATAACAATTTATGTTCAAAACAGTGACAGAAATTATCTATTCAAAATCGGGGCTCTATACTATCGCGGTCAGCTAGGAAGTCTCCGTTAAAACTTCAGTAGACAGCAAACATCGACACAAATCACCTATTTTCTGATAAACAGTGTTACTGTCTCACAAAAAGTAATAAAAAGAACCTTACTGATACATTCACACAAAAAATAATGAAAAGATCCCATAGAAATGGATTAAATTGCAAGTATATCTTAGTAACATTAGACCACCGAAACCATGCACTTTAAGTTGTAATTTAGGTTTCAAGATATCGTAAGAATTACAGTGAGTTGGTGTCCCTGTCCTGTTACTGACACTGATGTAAACGGTGTATTTGAGTCACTTACCTTCTAGTATTCTGTTTTTTCTGAGATACACTACGCGTAAGCAAGTCGCAACCACCATTCACTTTAAGGATCAACTTACTTAAGAGCTAGAAACAATATAGAGGTGGATTGTGGCTGGTATCGGGATCCGGGGTGAGCATTTCGTTTTGGTAGGAACCTGTTAGTTATGTTTATATAATTTTGAATCAAGTTTATTGTCATCCCATAGATAAACGGCCACTTCGATTAAGTGACTCTGAGAACAACATACAGGTGGGTTGAGGAGAGAGGTACTAATTTATAGTTAAGATGTTCACCTACATTCCGCTTATGAGTCATAAATAAAAACTTGACATAAGTTAAGGTTTTCGCTGCTGGCTACAATCTGTTCATTAGATAAGAAGTTGTAAGATGGCTATATTGAGGTAATCTTCACAGGATATACACCTACTACTAAACACTACTTGAAATTCAACCAAATGTAAAAAAACAAGGCCACAGGAATCCTTCCTAATAATTATATAAAATATCATGTTGGCTTTTAATTATCACCATCAAATTAATCGACTCAAAGTTTTTAAACTCAGGATTACTTATTTTTCAGATGAGTTAGCGTGTATTTGCATAATTTCATCTCAGTATATATAACTACTAGGTATTAATTAGGTATTAAACAACAAGAACTACAAGGTTTGCAGAATAAAATGAATTCATCCAATCTTGCGATTTCCCATCAGCTGCATACAACCTAAAATTATAATTACTAATGTAAATATACTTACCAACAAATGTTTAGCATAATTTGGTTTATGAATTTTCTGTAAATTTTTGAAACGTGACCAAAACCATGTTAATCTGAAGAATAGGAGTACAAAGTGTATGAATAAAAATACATAAATCCGATGTGCAATTGTAGTTTTAGCTTGTGTGGAGCTTATCAGAAACTGTGGAATAGAATGAACTCATTTTGTTTTGCAAACCTGGTTATTCTTACTTTGTTTAAATTTACCAAGAAATTTGGTTGTATGAAATAAGGAGGTTTATTTTAGAATTATGCGACAATTTAACAATTATTAAAGGGTATCCGACCGGATCACAGTGTTTGGGATGAACTATGATCTTGATGGATGTGCATTTTAAGTCAAAGTTTAGGTGGGAGCTCCACAGCTGGGAATCTAAAACGTGATGCTAAAATAATGGAGATCGAAGCACAACAGCCAAGAAAATAGCCATCAATAGTCAGCAACCCTCAAGTTTTTTTCGGTGGAACAATTCAAGATGTGTTTTATTAGTATGTTAAATATCAAGTGACCACCAAAATGAACCATTGTTAGGTAAAATAAGTTACAGACACAAACAGCAGTGTTGATATTATTATTATTTAAAAATATCTTATGGGTACATAACTGCTGTGAAGAAACCATTTCGGGTTCCTTCAAAAATGCAATAATACACAAGTTTCAATAATGTTAGATTTATATTTGCCATATTCGAAAAAGTGAGTAATAATAATAGAATAATAATAAATCAGGTTATGTGTAATTGAGAAGAATATTGAATTGATTTTAAAGATAGAAAGGGAGAAAATAAGGGAATAGAAACAAAGGAGGCATGATATACGCAAAAAGTTTGATAGGCGTATTTATGATAAAGATAAAGATAAAATAATTTCGAACCAATAAAAAGTCTTTCAAATGTTGGTAAACTTCTAAAACGCTACTGAAGGATGTAAGAGTACGTGAGGATCTTGTCGTGAGGTGGGCTAACATTAGCACATCAAATGTGAAGTCGTATGAAGTTGATTGAAGCAAATCAACTGATCTGAGGTGATTTTGGTGAGGATTTTCAAAATGAGTGATGATTCAATATGCTTTAGATACCTTACTACGCAGAAGTCATCAGCTATGTAGGAAACGTTAGCCTGATCCCTTAACTATTTAGAAATGTTCTTTGTATTACAGACGTTATTTGGAGAAATCTCTTTTACCATGTCACCATACCTCAGAAAAAAACATCATCTTCATGGGACGGGTTTGAAGAAAAGCAGTCGAATTAGTTTTTGAACTCAAGAATAAACCTTACTTTAAACTTCTGGCAGCACCAAAAGTGCTGCCTGTTCAGTGATGCACAGTAAAAGTGATGTGATGATGACGTATCGTATATCACAATATTTCCCACTCCAAACGATCACTTATACATTTCAGTGTTAAACTACAACTAAGAGGTCGCGTAAAATTGGAAGAATGATGAATATACACAAAGCAATGGAATTCGCTAAAAAAAATCCCCGAGATCATACCCGTTGCAGAACAGTAAGACCCCCTAAGCATCCTCTAGAACACTCACATAAGCTTAGTCCTGAAAAAAATCTCAAAGGAAATATCCGAAAAGTAGAAGTCAAGCACAGTCACTTGAATTGAAGGCACACATCTTACTCTTTACAAGTGATCACGTATAGGAATTTTAAAGTGTAGTTAAAAGTTACATCCTTGGGTTCCTCCAAGGAGAAACTTGGTACATTCTCATGAGTTTACTGACATTTCTATTATTTCTATTTATTTCATTTTTATAGGTTCCTAACTGAATAGATCGGTAAATCATTGCTAACAAACACAGTGGTTCATCAAAAAATTCCTCTTCTCTGTCCATAAACATTTGAATTATCTGAATTTATATGGTGATGATGTCTTCTTTCAGAATAAACCTTCACATCTACTTCCGAATGTGCTGAGAGGCATCGAACGGATAAAATGGCAGTTATGACTTTCTGTAGCCAATAACCTTCACCTACAAACTGTGAACTGACCCTAAGGAACTTAAAGATGTCACAGGTATTCCGAGTTTGACAACGTCTTCAAACTTAACACTTTGATCGAAGTATACAAACTCAGTCAAATCAGGTCAGAAATAAAGGGGTTTAAGGATATATTTGGAAAACTATCGATACATCTAGAAGCGTTAGGTCCAAGTCTGCCACTAAATGACCTGGTGCGGATGCGTGACAGAGTGCCTTCAGCTTAAGTGTATCCAGTAGAACTACTGAGGCCGGGATAGATGTTGGGAACTTGCAGAACTATAGATTTTGTGGATTTATTTGCCGCTAATAATTCCGCCATATGGGATCATCAAGTTTCAGAGAACTACGAATTTGTTGCCAACAATACAAAAAATATCTACGTGAATTAGAAGTCCTTTATTTATACCTAACAAAGTTTAGAGAATAAGGCTCTATTTTTTTATGAGTTTCACCGCACAAAATCTGCATTATGGGAGAGCGCACGATTCGAGTCTGTTTTCTGGTGATGTTTCGATGATCAGTTCGGATTATTATTCATGACTTCTTTATGAACCTAAATGCCTAACATATAAGCCTTTCAAATCAAATATTTTAGATATAGTTTTACAAATATTTTCACATCTCTGAAACAATATTTCTCAATATATGATGCTGTGGTCGCAAATGGTTTGCCAACCTAACAAATGGAACTAAAATGTATGTGTGGATACTTCTTGTCACGTCTTTATTAAAAACGTAGTAAGATCATGATATTCAGGGAACTTCACCATAAAGATTTGAATGATGATTCACATGTCAAGTTCCTTACCGAAATGGTGTAGATCATTCTAATTATTTCTCATTTGGAGTATGGGAGAATCGGCTTTAAAGGTAGTTGTTGGCGATGGAGAGTTTGTTCTTGACAAACCAGGTATGTTTTTCAAGCATGTAAAAGTGTTTGGTGAGTAAGTTTTGTTTGATTTGTGAGGTTCTGATTCGATGTCAATAAGGACTTTCTTCAGAACTATGTCGTTACCTCACAATCAGCACAGATTAAAATGATTAATAGTAGAGATGTGGTAGGTGGTTGAAATAATTTGATTCTGCAAAACATTGCGTTTAGTGTACGTTGCCGTTTGTTGACTTGGTTGACTTTTATTCGGGAGTCATAAACTTCCGTTATATTTAAGTTGCTCTTGCTAAGGGTATTCCCAAGGTTAATCAGTCCTGTAAGTTGTATTCGCAAACATGAAACATGTTTATAAAGCAGTAGTATTTGGCTGATTCATGGGTGCTGTTTGTCAAATAAGCAACTGTGATCGTTATCTTTCTTCAGTAAGCGCGTATAGTTAGGATTTATCTGAATGTAAAATAAATAATTTATCCGACTCATAAAGTTGTCAGGGCGACTTCGCTTCCCAAAATCGTGATATTTTTTCAATTTATTTCATATATGTTAATATTGGAAAACTATATTTATGTAAGCGTTAGTAAATTAGTTTGGGATATATTCAGCCTCGACCTTTAGTGAAACCAAGGTCCACACTTCACTTACGTTGTCATTTGTCGTACTTATTCATTTTTGGAAATGGTCTATTCCCTTAGGAAGTAAATGTAGCATTGCGGTGTAATATAATGTGATCATAGCTCAAAGTTGATCTCACTAGATAGTCTCATCAACTGCCTTCTATTTCACAAGAGAAACGAGTTGGATAGTAAGCGATCTCAATAACATCTCAAACTAACAGGGTTTAGAAAACCGATCGATTTCAAACATCTCACGTTACTGATTAGTAATCATAACCAGTTTTCTTGGCTGAATTAAGTACATTTTGTTTCGGAGAGCCTTTCCATGGCCTACTGTATGTATTCTGAATTAGGATATCTTCAACATTATCAGTAGTCACTACTTCGCACTCTTTTTGGGACCTCACGGAGAATTTACTTTGTAAGGTTAGCTAACCGTCCATAGGACTGTAAGAGGACTTCCTATCAACAGATTTTACCGGTATATAAAATATAAGGTTTTTCAAGATCATGTTATTGAAACTGTACTTTTCTCATTTGTTATGAGCTAAATAGTTATAAGTTTGTTGCTTCAACATCCACATGTCTCTTTGGCGTAGATCTGACTCGTGGGATATCAAGTGAAATGGTATTTACTAACATCAACTTATGTATTGAAAGTTTCACGGCTTACCTTGACGAAAACCTTTAATTCCGTATTTATATGACGTCTTTTTACTCTATTTCCCCCCAGATATCGTTTCCCAATACAGTCGTGTAATTTCAGTCTCTCCATCGAATTCAATATTATCAGCTGGATTAAAAGTTGGGGATCTTGTAACGTGTATTGACAGGATTCCTGTTGGTGGACTAAAACTCGATGAATTGCAGTCTTTAATTAATGACTCTACCAGGTATTGTTTTATAATTTTATTTACTTAATCAATTAGGTTGTATTATTTTTGTGACTTGAGTGTTGTCGTTTGTTATGAGACTGGGTATTTATGTAAAATCCAATGAATTATAGTTAGCCTACATGTTTTTAGTTAAATGATGCGGTTCTTTTCCTTCTGCTTTTCGTTCAACGAAGTTTTAAAGTATTCATTCTTAATATTTTGCTTCGAAACATCGACTCGATTTTTTATCTCGTATTTTAGGGGGTTCGTAGTTATTACAAGTCAGTATACTCGAAATAATCTCACTCGACCACACAATATTCAATATTTTTGCTTATAACATGAAACGATTAGCTGGAAATGAACTAATAATCACTGTGTGTCCCCTGGTTTGTAGTGGACTTTAGAATCTATACACCACGGTAACCGTTATACAAATAGTTATTGCTTGTTTGGTTACGTTCCTCTCTATCATATCGCGATTTCACGGTTGATAAAATATGCTAGTGGATTGAAGTCAGTTAAACGAGAGAACTGAGTTTGTGAGAAACATAATAGTTGTGACTATCGTTTCGGTTGGGGCATACCCGTAACACAAAAGATAAATATAGAATGAGGAATATTTCCAAATATGAAATTTATTAAATAATAGTAAAATAGCAATAGGTTTAGTTCATGATAAATATGAAGATAAGGAATGCCTTCTTCGTATATAAAGTCCAGGTTTCACCTCATGGATAGCTAAGGCCTCTGCTTTTTAGGGAGTTAGAATCGAAGAATTTTTCGGTAGATTCAGATAGATCTTACAAGCAACCTTAAAATCAACATGTGAGTTTTTCGAGGGATCACAGCTACTCCAGTGTTCAAGGATAGATCTCTATTGCTTTCCTTCTTCCCTTGTTATAACCAACTTGAAATATGTTCTCATATTTGAACTAAAGGCGGACGCCGGCTACGGTCAACATATCTCGCTCCACAGGAGTAGGTGAACTCCGTGTTTTCTATTTCTGCTCAACACTTCACTAATTTGTACTTCTCAGTTATATACAACCTTTTCCAACTTCTGAAGCTGAAAAAATGACATCTCCAGTCTCATTAAACCCCATTCCGAATCAAATATTCTCGTTTTCAATGTTAGCACTTTATGCCAAATCACTAGTAATAATCATTGAATGCTATGCTATCGACCCATTCCCTTTCAGAAACCGTCTTGAAAAATCTAAGTGTGTTTCTTTACTTGACTTATCTTAGTAGAAAACTTGTGCTATTCTTCTGAGACTCAATAGCCATTTATCGTAATTTTGGTGCTGTAGATCTGTCGTTGAGCTTAAAACTAGGATGGGAACTTTTGGTCGATGTTCTAGCTCATTGGTGCCTGTTGTTATTCTATATAGATGGACTGTTAGGACTGAGAATTATCATGATACACAGGACTGACATTTTGTGATGTTTTACTGTTCTCCAACTAGCTGCATTTTGAATATGATGAAAGTGGCTTGGTCAGTCAAACCCTTATCATCCTTTGGATACTAGGATAGTGGTAGTGTATGTCACTGGAAGACTGATCATGGAAGTACGTAAATATTCAACCAAATATTACTGCTTTTAGAGCTTACGATCAACTAATTTCTAAATTAACTGCCTCAAGTGATGTTTGTCAAAATTATTCACTTTCCATTTTTACTAAATCTTACCACTGATATACATCCTTAGGCGACTGTCATTGTTTTTTCCGAGATTGACTTTGAGTACATAGATGACGCGGTGCCGTTTAGCGACCTCTGAAAAATGCCTTTCCCTCTCACTAAATGAAAAATATTCAGAATTAGCATGGGCCGTTGCCTAGTCTGTTCATAAAAAGTATGCTTTGAACACTTCAGTTCTCTTGAATGTCTCCAATCACGGAAGGGGGCTGATAAAACCTCAGCTTGGATATGGAAAAACCATTTGGCTTTTGCTGACTTCAACACTTATGGTATAGGAAATATTTGTGTCTGTCTATGAAAGAAGGAGTTTGTGCTGCACTTATTTATGATTGTAAAACCTGGTTTATAAAAGCACAAGACACAAGAAGGATGTTGTTACTGACTGACTGAGTATTTAGTCATTAGTCTCCTACTTGTAGAAGGGAATCACGTATTGAGATATTCTGAATTCTTATTTAGAAGTGTACGACGCATACTTAACTTATATTGTTTAACATAGAGCCTAGAGTCATACCATAACGTGGGATAAGTGAATGTGTTTATTAACTTTTGATTTGATCTGCACTTAGAGGTGAAAAGTTTCTGTTTGGGGTTTGCGAGATACTCCTAATGTTTGATTGGGAAATCATTCCATATGTCCTAAAAGGATTTATTCTTTATCTTACAAGTGTTAAGTGTAACATTTCCCCATACACTTCATATTTTGATTGTCTTCCTTTTGGATTTTATTTCTACGTTTCGAATACTAATATTGTTTTCACAATGTTGCTTTCCTTATCAGTTTTCTTTCATGCTGTACTTCTGCAGGTTGTAGTAATTTTGACTAGCACCAGATCCGCTGGCGGTTGCAGATATATTTATGCCATATATATGCTGGTAGGCTAAAAGTTTCGATCTAAGCTAGGAGTAATTATATATGTTTAATCAGAATGTAACCAGTCAGTCAGCTACAACGTAGGACCAGGCACATTTATGCATCGGTCCAAGTTGCCATACCTCATTAACACAACAAGATGGACACCGGATTCATAAAAGTAGTTAATTCAGAGGTGGTAATATATAAAAGAAAGATTGCAATAAGGATATAGTACAGGAAGAAAGAATTAGTTCGTAGAAAGAAAGATATGAAGCAATTTCAATCTCTTAGTTTAAGGGAAGACAGAGAGTGTATACACCAACGCCATTGTGATCGATTCTGAGCCATGTCACCAAGAGTCTCCAACCATTGGTTACGACAGTCACGCGGACCCCAACCAAGTAGTCTGCATCTCCCAACATGGTTCAGACCAGAAGTTAGTGACTTCAAGCACTGATGCCACGTTTTGGTTTGGCCACCCCTAACTTTCTTCCAACCATCCCGAACGCCGGTTAGCATTGCACGTCGTGGTAATCGGTGTTCAGGCATACGTAACACGTGGCTCAACCATCTCAGTCGATGAAGATTCACAACCTCATCAACTGATTTACCATCATTACCTAATACCTTGCGTCTAACTTCACTATTACTTACCCGGTGATCCCAGCAGACGCCAGCAATATTTCTGAGGCATCTGTGGTCAAATACTAATAGCTTACGAGTGTCTTCTACTCTTAATGGCCATGTTTCGCTGCCGTGAATTAAAACAGAACGGACTGCGGCGCAGTATACTCGTCCTTTTATTGATAGACGGATATCTCATTTTCGCTATAGATGACCTAAAGTGGCAAACGCTGACCAGGCTTTTTGAATCCGTGTAAAGATTTCGTCATGCAACAACTATATACTTGATTTTTTCGTATTTTCTTTCCTGTTATTTCTTTTCTTCATTGTCTCCAGAATGTTGTTAGTTTGTTTTGTTGGACAAATTTTCTGGTTACCTATTGTAACGGTTTTTCTTGGAAACAACTTCAAATTGTAGATAGCCACAGATGTTGACTTTGTAATACAGCTACCACGTTTATGTTCGTGTCTTAGATTATGAACCATAAATTGCCGTCCAAACATTAATAAATAGAGCAGGTTTTGAGCTCATGATTTACAATTTATCACTGACATACCAACACGTTAGTCATATTCACACTAGTTACTTTGAGCTCTTATATTTTTCTGTTCTTCTGGTTGAAATAATTTTTGTTCTAATCATAGTCTACTTTTTTACATTTTAGTTCCGGTGAACTGAAGCTGAAAGTGATAGACAATGGAGGTGAAATATGTTGCTCCTTCCCAGTAGAAGTTGGTAACAAAACAATTTGTCAAACAATAAAAAAAGGTAAAGCATTTTGATTCATTAGGATTACATATACTAACAAGTAGAGTAACTATTTATTACAATAAATCGACCTTTCGCTAGTGAAAATACATTCCAGGGACATCAGCAAGCAATCACTATTTGGATGAAGTCAATTTCGTTGTTATTGTTAAGCATGTATGTATGAAAACCATGATAACAAACTTTAAAAATACCTTACTACTCTTCTCGTCTTTTTCCGAAACCATAATATAGTTCCATTGGTTTGTCGTATTACGCTTATCACTATGACTTTCAAATTTTATCTCTGCAATAAAATGTCCACTAAACATCTGCGTTCACTCCGTTGATTTTGCAATTTTTCTTATATTTGGGTTGAAGTATGTAGGCAGATGAAATCTCCCATGAACTAACTAATCAGGCAGAGTAATAAAGCATTCAGGGCATAATGACTTATTTAGTAGATTTAAATATAAAAAAGGTTGCGTGAAATAGTCTGTTTTCTTAAAAAAGCAATGGTCTCATAAATTTAAAAAGATGATTTATTGAATAACATCTTTCATGATTTGGACGGGGCTTTTCTTTAACTATCTTAGAGAGTACAAACGCATAGGTCGAATTGTTCTTCAGCCAACTCTGTGGTGGGATTCCTTAGCTGTATGTAGGACAGCATATTTCATAAATTGAGCAAACGTTTCGCAACTTTTAACGGTACAGTTCTTAAGGTTACTGGGAAGTTAATTTTTAGCTATCAGTCTTTTCTTTTCAAAATTATTTTCATTCCAATCCCACAAGTTATTTTAGTCTCTTTGACTGACTACTTTCAATATATACGTATGCTTAATTAAGGAGTAAAGGGAGCTCTAATTCTAAATATTTCTGTTAAGTATGTTATGTAGTGTATTTATTTTAGAAGCACTAACGATAGCATTCAATTTCCGAAATCTTGGAAGATAAAGCTAAGTTTAAACCTCCAAGTTACAGTTCAATAATGTCCTTAATAATTAAACAAAGTTGTATCATTCAGTGAGTAATTTTACGTTATATACTATTGGATTTTAATCGCACATTTAAGATTTTATCACACTATTGACTAATTTTTTATGTGCTATGAAGCGAGTACTTTATTGTTAAGAATTATAATTCCTTATTACTTGGAGAATAAATAATTTACAAAATAAACAGAAATTATTAATCGATTTCATTCATGTTATTGATTTGTTTAACGTATGTATTTAAACTTATAAATCAAAATCACGTTCACCATTTCACAATTAAACAGCCGTTAATGATTACTAACAATACTATGTGTCCATTCTATGTTTAATTCTTCTTTACTCATTCTGTTATGACCCTGAATTTTCGTCGATAAGAAGGGGTAACTACTCCCTTTTCGGTATTCTGGTTAAATATTATCTATAAGCACTTCCATGTATCCCTTGATACTAGCCACATAGTTGTTCCACTTGAAAACATGCTGATGGGGTACGACTCGACTCAAGAGAGTGAACACAAAAAGTAGATTAGTTTATTTTACATCCATACTAAATTTCCGAAACATCTCAATACACTTATTTGTGTATAGATCTACTTCCCAAGGATTATTAGTCAAGCCTAAAATAATTGTAACCGAAAATAATGATATATTGACCAACTGTCATATTGAATGAATCCATAATTGAAATTCTCAGAATACAATTGAATGTTATACTCAATGAATATCATGCTGAATTAACTCATAATCTCGTTCTTGATCTCTCCTCAATGCTTTATACCATAAGTAAGTATTACATCTAATGTCATAAGAGATTTCAAATTATTTGTTTACTTTGACTTAGTTCTTCACATACTTCTGAGGTTTGTTTCAGTCAGTGGTCTTGAGTGCTGTTAGAGGTTTGTTTAGTATGTATACTGCGATTTTAATCTTTTGTTCAAATTTTTTTAGATTACTGAAAAAATGTCGCGTAACTTTAGGCCGTCTAAAATGTTTTTCAAGATGTTTCACCACAGTATTTTTTTACACTGATTGTATGTTATTAAACTGTTCTGTTTAGCAATAGTCTCTATCGCATCTCACAAATTAGTTTCTTTTGATGTTTATTTTAATCCGATTTATACCAACCTGTTGTTTAATTTAAATTGTTGGTTTTTAGAAATCATGGTGGTTCATAAGTAGTTTTTATTCATTTAAATGTTTATGTATTTCTGCCTCAACGTTTAGTATATCAGTTGTCTTTATTTTTAGTTACTGAACTCTCATCAGACAAATCAGAACATGAGAATTTGCGAATAATACATCGACAGGCTTATCGTTCATCTCCAGACACTGCTAGGTCGCAACGCAATTTTAATGTAAGGAATAGCTCTCTCGAAAAACCTGGTCCGCAAATAAATTACAAACCAAAGCACACTTCTACCTGTTCTCCTGTTATTGGTTCATGCGAGTCTCAGTTAGGTGCTGTTGCAAGACTAGCTATCGATGGCGGTCTGACAACTGATCAACTACTTCAAATAGGATCCTCAGAAACTAATCAACCTGGGCATTATTTATATCAATCAGTCACCAGCTGTAATCAGAAACGTTTGGTACCAGATCCCAACTACAGTTTTTCACACTCAAGGAATACAAATTTTTCAACCACGCATCCTACTTCGCCGTACCCTCACGTTTGTCGTGTTTCCCCACGAGGGACTAGAAGACCTTTATGCTATAGCTCTAGCCAATCTGTTAACCTTGTTCGAGGTTCCGGTACAACTGCAGCGCATGACCAATCACACGTTGCTATTTCTCCTACCCATACTGCTGATAGCAATCCTCGTCTATCTCAGTGCACGACATCTCGTGATAACCTACTTACGTGGCATAATCTTAACAACAGTAGTCGTGTTTCCCTTGCTGCTCAAATGACTCGCGTTGGCGGACTTGTTTTCGCCACTGGTTCACCAAATCTTGTATCAGAAAATTCGGACTCGAACCCGGTTGGCAAAAGTATTTCTTCAGCCAAGCCTTATCAATCAATATCTGCATGTACTTCTCCCACCAACTTGAAACATACTGTGTCATCTAATTCCCAATCAGGTTCTTTCTTTTCATGTTCAAATGTTCCTAGTCCGACGAATACCCCACCTTTATCTTCCACGAATGCCATATACAATATAACAGCTACAGATATAGTTCGTTTGGGACCAGGTAATATTGTTACTCGAGCTGCAGCTGGTTCGACTGTGTACAGTCCTTCAAGTTTGATTCGAATGCACTGTTCTCCACAACCATATGTTGGAATGGGGATGACTGGAAGTCCTTATGTTCCGGTAGTGTCCACGCTTACAATCTCTAATTTAAACGTCCCTTCACCTGTATTATCGGATGGAGATGATTCTTGTTTATGTACAAAGCCCACCATCAATTCTGAACCGAATATTTCAACTACATATTCAGATTTAGAGACAAATAGAACACCTGAATCAGTCTTCCCTTGTTCAGGTAAGGAATACTCACTGATGTGTTCATAACTACATTTACTTATATGCCTATAAATACTGTATTTGGTGTTTAAGACGCAGGAAGAATTTTTTTTTTAATGTACGTATTTTGTTGTATTAGGAGACAATAAGCATAAATAGTTTATGGTAGATAGTCAAACTTAGAACTTGCTGGGTATGTTAGGTGCTGTTGAGCGTAAAGGGTACATTGAATCTGTGGATTGTTCAGATATAATTTCAACGAGTGTACTGAAAACTATTTTCGGTGCAACACGTGGTAATGTTTGAGACTACCTTATTTATGGTTGGTTCATAAAAACACCTCTGTAACATACAAAACTAGTATTATACATTTTGCATTTTTACTCCTTTGCCCTTGGCGATTTCAGGAAAATGATTGTCTTTACTTCTATATTTAGTGTTAAAGTTACAAGTGATGCATAATTAATCTATTTTATTTACCTACCATAGCATCTTCACCAAGTCCTACAGAAATGTCTCCATCAATAGTAAACCGACCAGGAACGAAGAAAAGTTATGTGAATCCTTCTCTACGATCTTCAGCACCTGTTACATCATCATCCCAATATATTCCTACTTCTGAAGGGTAAGTTGTCGTAGTTTATGGTTTTTTCTTCAAATCAGCTTGTCAAAATGTTGTTACTTACTTACTTACGCCTATCGCTCCTCATGGAGGAGCATAGACTACCCACCAGCATCCTTCATCAAACTCTGTCCTGAGCAATTCCCGCTACTTGTTTCCAGTTGCTATTCATCCTTTTGATGTCTACTTCCAATTCCCGACGCAATGTATTCATTGGTCTTCCTCTTTTCCTTTTCCTTTTGGGACTTCAACTTAATATCTGTCTCGTGATGCAGTTTGATGATTTCCTCAATATATGTCCTATCCACCTTCAACATATCTTCATAATTTCCTTTTCAACTGGAAGCTGGTTTGTTCTCTCCCACAGTAGGCTGTTGCTGATGGTGTCCGGTCAACTGACATTGAGTATTTTGTGTAGACAATTGTTTATAAATACTTGTACATGTTTAATGACGAATTCAGCTCCGTACAGTAGAACTGTCTCGACGTTCGTATTGAAGATTCTGACTATGATGTTGGCTTGCATACAGTTGTTTTGAGTTGCATATGTTCTTCAACTGTAGGAATGCGACCCTTACTTTGCCAATCCTTACCTTCATATTTGCACCAGCTCCTCCTTGTTCATCGACGAGGCTTCCCAGGTACGTGAAAGTTTCCACTTCGAGAGTTTCTCGATCAAGCGTGATTGGTTTAGTGTTGTCTGCGTTGTATTTGAGGATGTTGGTTTTTCCTTTGTGCATGTTGAGGTCTACTGATACAGAGGCTGCTGCTACAGTGGTTATCTTCATCTGCATTTGTTGGTGTGTATGGGATAGGTTGGCCAGTTTATTTGCGAAGTGCAAATCGTCTAACTGCATACAAGTTTTCCATTGTTTTCTGTGCTTCCCTTGAGATGTAGAGATCTTCACAATCCAATGAACCACCAGAAGAAAGAGAAGGGGTGAAAGTAAGCAGTTTTGTCTGACACCGGTCTTCACTTGGAATGCGTCTATGAGCTGTCCTCCATGAAAGACTTTGCAGTGTGATCCGTCGAGTGAATTCTATATGATGTTGACGAAATTCTCATCTAATCACTCCATAGTGTCGAAGATGGTCCCATAAGGCTCTCCTATCCACACTTTCAAACGCCTTCTCATAGTCAAGGAAGTTGATGTATGGTGACGACCTGTATTCAATCGACTGCTCAACAACGATCCTTAGTGTCGCGATTCGGTTTGTGCACGACCGATCATTAGGGAATCCGGTCTGTTGATCTCGAAGCTGGACGTCTGCTGAATGTTTCATCCGGTTCAGCAACACTTGGAAAATTTCCCTTGTACCGGTAGTATTGTGATATGTTTGTAGTTCTGACATATGCTCAGATCTCCTTTCTTTGATATGTTGATGAGATATCCTTCTCTGCAGTTTGTCGGGACCTGTTCTTCCTCCCAAATCTTCCTGAAAAGAATGATGAGCATGTTTGCAGTTACTCCTATGTGTGACTTCAGTGCTTTAGCTGGTATATTGTCAGGTCCTTCCGTTTTCTCACTCTTGATTTATTTAACCGCCATTGTGATTTCGATCGTTGGTTGAGTGACAGCTGTAGGAAGGCTTGTATGTGCTACTACAATGTCTGGTGGGTTCATTGGGTTTAGTCTATGCGAGAGTTCTCCAAAGTATTCCATCCATCTTTTCCTCTGTTATTGAGTCTGTGATTGTCTTGCCTTCTTTGTCCTTGACTAGTCTCTCTGGTTTACTATATTTCCATGCCACTTTCTTCGTCGCGTCATATAGCTGTTTCATATTCTCTTCTCTTCCAGCTTTTCCCGCTGTTGTTGCTAAATCTTTCACGTATTTCTGCTTGTCAGCTCTAATACACCTCTTCACTCTCTTGTTCGTTTCTGTGTATTCGGTCTTTGGATTGAATTTCTCTGTTCTTGTTCGACTGTTGGTAATTGCTATCGTCTTGTTATTCTTTTCTTGAATCTTGTCTTGGGTTGTGATATAGATCTATTGTTTATGATGATGTTTGTTGCGGCTCGACAGTTCCTGACACGTTGAAGTTGGTGTTTCTTCGGTCCATTTCCAATTGTCCTCCATATTAGTTTCATCTTCTTTGAGTAGATCTAGTTAGGTTTGTAACCTGTCGTTGAGAGCTATCTTGAATTAATTGAGTTTGTCAATATCTGGAAGGAATGCTTCATTAAAACATTGTAATGCTGTTTCTCCAGTTGTCTGGTGCTTCTTAAGAACTATCAGCTTATCAAACGGATGGTATCTAGCAATGCAATCCAGGACTAGCGTCTCATCTTGTTTGGGACGCGTCAGTTGGATCTACCTGTATCCCAGACTGATCGATTGCAGTTCTAAACATCGTTGGGAAGATTCAAACTATCAGTATAAGTGGAGATATCAAAGTAGTTTCTTACATAAAATAATTTTTCTGTATTTGTTTATTCTTCACTCCCGCCCATCCTTTTTCTTTTCAGTTTCTATTTTTTCTATAGTATACACTTTGTCTCCTGCTAATTTGATATTGATGAAGACTTAGGAGGATTTACAATCGTGTCTGGTTATTGTTATCTTTCCAACTGTATTTAATTCAACCAGTCGACTGATTGCTTACCTACTTAATGGATTTCTGAATTATACTTTTTTAACGATAAAGTCTTTCAGATCTTACCATTTTCTCACTTATTTATATTATTCATTGATGCTGAAGTTGTGGTTCAATGTTCACATCGCTTGATTGTCGATCGGCAAGTTGTAGTTTTCAACTCTACTTCACTTACATTGATTTCGGCAGCCAGATAGTAGCAGTATTTATCACTAGTCCTTAGAAAAATAAGGTGATCAACTTAGTAAATGTTAGTTAAAATGTCATTTCAATAAACGCTATTGAAAACCAATCATATATTGCGTCTAGTTTGGAAATCGACTTGCACAACTTAGGCTAGCAATAGTATATATATATATATATATATATATATATATATATACCCACTTGGTTAGGATTGTTGTTGTGCTGTTTTATTGATTGTAATTTTCTTTCTCCTCCTCCTCCTCTTTCTTTTTTTTCAACCTCTTGTCGATTGACCGGTCATCTGATCCGCTTGTGTTATTTACGTTCATACATTTTTTCCTTGGAAAGCAGAACTTTCATTTATTTTATAATTGTTTCTAGAATAGGGAGGGTCTTTTTAAAATATTCCGGTGTTGTCGTTTGTTGATGAGGGTGGTGTTATTATTGTTATTTACGGATAAGCAACAGGGTTTCATTGTGCTTTCTTCATTGATTTCCGGACATGTGGGCATATATATATATATATATATATATATATATATATATATATATATATATATATATATATAATTTCGTTTTTATCATACCGTCGTAATGCTTAAGTGCTTATTGGAATAGGATACAATACTACAAAGCGTAATATTATTTAACAGACCTATGGTTTATTTAAATTTCGTGAAAAAGAAGACTGTTGTCAAACCTTCATTGGTTTATTTTCTTCTAGTCATCTTTTTATTTACGACTCTTTTTTAGCGAACATTTCATATTTGGTTTTATAGTATAATCTTTCTCAGCAGATAGTTCGTGTTGTTAGTTAAGGTGATCATAAAAGTCAATGGTCAGTCAGTCAGTCAGTAACAACGTAGAACTTCGTACGTACGTACATCAGTTCGAGTTGCCACACCACATTAGCACAGAGATTCAGTTGTCGATTCAAATCCCGTAGTGGTAGAGGTAATAAGAGTATAAGCAGTAATCGGGAAGATTAGGGTTTGAAGATGTTATTCAAGGAGTATAATCCAGTGAAATAAATTTGGAAAGAGGAAAAAAGTGACATGAAAATTCAGAAGATTAGAATTTGGGAGAACACAGAGGGTGGATGCACCTGCGCCATTGCAAACGATTTTGAGCCATGTCATTCAGGGTCTCCAACCATCGGTTGCTATCATCTCGCGGTCCCCAACCAGGTAGTCTGCACCTACCAACATGACTCAGTCCACTTGTCAGTGACTTCATGGACTTGTGCCATGTTTTGGTCTGGCCGCCCCTTGCTTTCTTCCAACCTACTCCTATACCACTGAACATAGCACGTCGAGGTAGTCGGTAGTTGGGCATACGTAACACGTGTCCCAGCCATCTCAACTGGTAAAGTTTTACTACTTCATCAATTGATTTGCCATCCTTACCTAGTACCCGTTTCCTAACAACTAAACTACTTACTCGATGGTCCCAGGATATACGAGCAATATTTCGAAGACACCTATAAATGAATACTAGCAACCCACGAATATCCTCTACTCTTACCAGCCATGTTTCACTGCCATAAAGTAGGACGGAACGAACTGCTGCACAGTAAACCCGTCCTTTGGTTGATAAACGGATATCTCGCCTACGCCATAAATGACGCAAGTTGGCAAAAGCTAGTCGAGCCTTCTGTATCCGTGCTGAGATTTCGTCACAAACCAGACCACAAGGGCTGATGAGACTTCCAAGATAAGTGAAGCGGTCGACACACTCAACTACTTCACTCCCTATCACTAGTTCGGGTGTCGATGTAACCCCATCCTGAAGCAACATTTTGCATTTCGAGGGAGAGAAACGCATCCTGAACATGCTTGCATTGTTGCTTAGAGTGGTCAGAAGACTCTGCATTTTATCAGCGTCTTCATCAAATAAAACTACGTCATCGGCATATTCTAAGTCAACAAGTGAACCTCCCGGTAGAAGTTCAACCCCTGGAAATTTAGATGAGAAGAGTGTTATCTCTAAAAGTACATCGACCACAAAGTTGAACAAGAATGGGGAGAGTGGACAGCCCTGTTGTTGTGTTCGAGTAGAGAGCCTTTATAAGGTTAATGTACTTCTTTGGTACTCCTTTCAGTGACAAAGACTGCCATAGAACCTCACGATCAACAGAGTCGAATGCCGCCTTAAGGTCGAGAAATACAACTATTGTGGGGCGTCTGAATGTGTGTCTATGTTCTAGGACCTGACGTAGTGTGAATATCTGGTCTATACAGCCACAACCAGGTCGGAAACTAGCCTGGTTTTCTCTAGTTTGCTCTTCACGAGCTCTAGTTAGGCGTCGAAGTATTATTGAAGCTAATATTTTAGACACTATATTAGTCAAATTGATTCCTCTGTGATTGTCACAAGAGGACTTTTGTCCTTTCTTATAGACTGGCACAATCAGTGATTGAAACCAGTCAGATGGGATTACGTCCAGTTCCCAAATTCTACCTAAGACCTCGGGTAATCTCATTGCTAATACTGGGCCACCATCCTTAAAAATCTCAGGGGTAAACCTGTCAGGGCCTGCTGCTCTCCCTCGCTTCAGATTTCCTATGGCTTTTTCAACTTCGTAAAGGGACGGAGGACCTACATTTACTTGCCATTCAGGTTGACTGGAGATCGTGGGAAACCAAAGTGTGGCTGAAGGCCAGTTAAACTGATCCCTAAAGTGTTCTGCCCATCGATCCAATCTCCTGGATTGAGAATGAATAATATGTCCATCTTTCTCTGAGATTGTTTCGCTAACGGTCGGGTTCCTAATTCCGGTTTCCTTAACGAGTCTGAACAATTGTCTGCTATTACCTATTGCCGCTGCCTTTTCCATCTCTCTTGCTTTCGCTACCCACCACTGTTCACGATCATTGCGTAGACTTCTTGTCAGCTTGCGCTTAAGCTGACCCCGCTCTTCATTATGTTCAGAGCCAGGTGGAATGAGTTTCCGAGCATCTATCAATGCGATAGATGCTGCTGAGATCCAGTGTTGCTCTCTAACCTTCTGGTTTACCTTACTAGCAGATATCATTGCTGTTTCCACAGCTTTTCGGATATCATTGCATGCTGCCTCGGGGTGGGCATCACATACATGGCTGCCTAACTATTTTCCTAGTTGTTCCTGAAATATACTCTTAGCCTGGCTATCATTAAGTAGGCCCTTAAGAAGTTTCCTTGCAGCGTCTTTCCTACGTCCAGTAAGACGCAAGCAAATACGCACTCGCACTAGAGCATGATCTGAATCTAAGCATGTGCTCCAGAATGAGCGACAGTCTTCTATCGAGCTCCTCCATCGGTGGCTGATAGCGATGTGATCTATTTAGGTCCAACGTTGGGACGAATTAGGGGGTCGCCATGTTAAAAGATGTTTTTCCTTATGCTTAAAGTTAGTATTTGCCAGGAACAGGCGGTTATCTGAGCATAGCTGCAACAGACGGTCGCGATTGTCTGTTCTTTGAGCCACGACACCATAAGATCCACCTAGGTGTCTTTCCCTATCGCTTAGTTTACCTACTTGAGCATTAAAGAAACTACGATGTAACCACCCCTTACTCAAATCCAGATCCTCAATAAAATCTGACATTGAATTCCAAAACAGTACCTTACGTGTTACTTAATTTCACTATTTGTCTCCAGCATTATAATAGTTTAACTGTAAGAACAGCTTATTTCAAGTTTCAAACAGTCAGAGAAATATTGATATGTTATCGATATCCTGGTCTTTTGCAAGCCAATAAGCATAACCCTGAACCAGCGATTTCATTTTGTTGATACCGGGATAACCTCAGTGGAATTGTTACATAACATTTTGGCTTGATATTTAAATATATCACAACCATTGCTCCTAGTTATTTAAAAAGCTGAAGGGGCTGAGTGGAGGGTGATGATAGCTACATAAGATTTGTTCAAGGACCTTCATAAATAATTTCTTATTAGTCAAAAGTTTGATTTCAGTTAAGAAAATTTATTATGACCATAATAAATGTAATGATTCATTTTGTTTATAATTGTCTATTAAATTAAAGATATCATGAAATAATTTTCCCTTGTGTAGATTTCAATATTCACCTACATTTTTCAAATCTTTCATTGTAAAATATAGCCCTGTCGCTGATTCCTTCCTACCTCATCCTAAACCATTGAATCTTTACAATGTACCAAGTTCACAAATAGTTCGAACCGTTAGACATCTTCGGCGTATTAGACACATTCTTGGTGATTCAGTGAGTATCATTCGATATTTCATTTTATTTTGTATAGTAAGCTGATCAATGTGCTGTGTAATATATTTTTATCAAAAAATATGATCAGTTATTTGGTTAAGTTCGAACTGCATATCTTCTACTTTAAAAATCCGAATAGTATACCCCTCAAATCTAGTACATCTCTTTTTCACAATTGATTTCTGTTATTTTTATACCACACCACGCAACAGGTTTTTGCTTCACACTCTTATTCACATACTGCCCTATAGAGCTACTAAGCTGTATTAATTTTTCAGTTACCTAAGAGTTTGTATCCCCTACTTTTGGTTCAATAATTTGGCTGTCTTAAGGCCATTCTTGGTTGCCACATTTACATAGATGTTCCATCACAAATTTGACTATTGTTTTAGAATCTCAAGTTTTCCTTATCACTTGATTTCTTCATTTCTTCCAGCGCCTTAAGGATTACTATCAAAATTTTGTGTACCAATCTTCAGGTCTATCGAATTTATATTGGATCTCGTTCGTATCAAAAGAATCTCAGTCGTTCGTAATTAGAGATTTGCCGTATCCCAGTTGTAAAGACTTAATATCTTTAAAAGAAATTGCATTCAATATCATATCTTAACTTCCATAGAATAAATTCATTCCTTTTTAAGAATAACGTGCACCATGAAATGATGTCAACTAAACAATCCATTCAAAACTAAGACAGACTTATGGGGTAGCTATTTCATCCTAATTCAGAACTTATGTGTTCACAGTGTGTTCCTCTACAATCAAACTAATAATAATTTATTTGTGCTTTTCACTTTTGACAATGGATAGTTTGAAAATCACAAAAACTGTTTTTTAACATTGAAACTACTGTCCCTATTAGCGTCGTGAAAGAGTTATTACTCAAATGCACCATGAATGTAAATTTCAAGTTCAACGGGGAAATATATAGACAAACTGATGGTGTAGCAATGGGTTCACCACTGGGCCCTATACTAGCTGATATTTTTCTAGCCAAACTAGAAAATGGTCCACTAAAAAAGATTATTGACAACTTCACATTTTACTGTAGATACGTGGATGACACGTTCATCCTCTGTAAAGATAATACATCGCCCCAAGAGGTTCTTAGACGATTTAATGAAGTACATCCAGCCATTCAGTTTACATCTGAAGAAGAGAGTGATGGCCGAATAGCCTTTTTGGACGTTCTCTTGACTAAGAGAGCGGATGGATCGTTAAAAAGGAATATAAACAGAAAAAGTACTTGGACTGGGCAATATACGAATTTCCTGAGCTTTGTACCTCTACAGTACAAACGAAATTTGATCAAAAACCTTAGCTACCGTATTCGCACTATATGTTCTGCTGATATAGTCGAACAAGAGCTTACCACCTTGCATAATACTCTCAGGGAGAACGGCTACCCTAGAAAGTTTATAATTAAATATATGGTCACGAAGGCGAAAGTAGGCGAAATACAAACAGTGAAGAAGAAATCCCTGTTCATGCGTCTACAATTCAGAGGGGATGCGGCTAGCGAAATACTAACTCAGAGACTACGTAGGACAATACAAAAGTCTTTTAACGCCGGAGAACTGCAATTAGTATTTTCTACGCGCCCAATGGTTACACCGAAGCTAAAAGATGAATTACCTAGAATGACCACCTCATTTTGTATTTATCAGTTCAACTGCTCCTGTGGAGCGAGTTATATTGGTCGAAGTTCTAGGAATTTACATTTTCGTGCTCGTGAACACCTTCCGGCGTGGTTGAACAAAGGTTTGATGAAGAAGGTGAACAGCTCAATATTGGCCCATTTAGTACAAACCGGTCATAGTGCCAGTATAAACCAATCTTTTTCTATTATTTATAAGGTCAGTAATTTTTTGCCAAAACTGGTCAGACTGAAAGTCCTTCAAACGGCTGAAGCAGTAGCCATCCGAATGAAGAAACCGGAGCTATGCGTACAGAAGAAATATGTTCAGCCACTCCTCCTCCCCTGGCCAACACCAAGGCCAATTAATCAATCGTAATCTTAACTATTGAATGACCCAATTTGACTATGACCTTTCGTAGTCAATTGTAATTGTCCCTGTTATCTTTATTCATAAATCTTTGTATTATTATTATTATTGTTATTATTATTATTATTATTATTATTATTATTATTATTATTATTATTATTCGTACTATTGGTTAAATATCATTAATCTCCCCTTTACATGATTCATTCACTTTGCATTCATCCCTCTGTATTACGTCTTACTTATTTGATCGAATTGTAATTGCACTATTATTTCTCTCTCACCCTATTTGACCCATATTTATTCTGATCATGGATCTTAAAATTTCATTTAACATATACGCAGATTCAAGTTAACATTTTATATGAGTCATATTAACAATTTTATTGTATTTTGTTTATCACAATCCTAAATTCACATGCTCTAAACGATGTACTTTACCCTTAATTTGGCCATTTTTCGGATTATTAATTTGGATATATAATTGTAGAACCTGAAGAGAATTTATCGAAAAGAATATTCTTCGTTCAAATATTAGTCTTTTAAAACTATCATTGTTAAGTTTATTAGTGTTTGAATTAAAAGTGTTTGTCCTCTTTTCATTTTCAGTATAGACTTACTATAATCAGGTATTTTGAAAGCCTAAACAGTCTTTTTGCCTTACTAACTTTATTGCTTGCACCGTAAAGAAGAATGTAATAATATTTGTATGGAGACACTTCCACTAAGTGTTACTTTGTATTTTTATAAAGCCTAGAAAAAAATATTTATGTACATATATGTGTATATACATGATCGCGTGTTTTATGTTTCATCTTGGAAAAAGTTTGCCATAAAAAGCAAATACTTGACCAAAGAACTATTTCTAATATTCATTGATTACCGAAAATGTTTCTATTAAATCTTCTGGTTTTAACTAGTCTTTTCAAATTTATTTAAATAGATTGGCTACACTAGTTCTGCAACGTCAGCATCCACCAGTGCACTTGCAGATGAAGATAAAGATGACTCTGTTAGTTCATCTAAAGTTGGACAACTACGATCTCATGGTTATCATTCAGTTGAATCGATCAGACGATCTAGTTTACTATGTGATTGTTTTCCGAATCAGACTACAGATGTGAATGATAGGAAATCTGTAAAAATTTCCAACTCTCATACACCGTCATATCCTGTGACTGCATCTATCGACTGGAATGATTCTGAAATAGAGGTTAGCTTTTATTCTCCATAATTTTTAGTTGATTTTGATTTCACACTTGCAAATTAGGGTTTTATATTATGACAAAGTTGATTGTTTTTCTTTTAAATATCCTGACGTAAAGATGTTTACCATACGTACACTAGATTTCTGTTAATTGGTTTTTCACATTAAAATCATTTATTGTTAGTCAAGCTTTATACCTCAAAGTTAATTCGAGTGCTGTTAGGAGTGTGTGGGTAGTTGTTACTTTCCGGTTACCCTCACCATGGAGGGATTCGTCTTGGGGTGCTTGCAAAGGAAGCTGGATTGGTAATGGTCTTGACGACCTAGCAGCGCAACCTTAGAGCCCAATAAACAACTGATTAAGACCGGTTACACACGGTCTTTTTGCGATTACTTCTTGACGTGTTAGTTCTTCACATTAAATGCCTTACCATCTGGTGTTTGATATCCGTTTGGCAAGGTGTGCTAATATTAGGACCAACCTTTTCTAACCTCTTCCTTCTGTTGTCAAAACGCGCAGCATTTCTGCAGACACTAGTCGCCTGAATGGGAAATCTTACTCCTATTACACCTTTGCACAGTTGGCAGTGCAACTTCTCTCTTGGATCATATGCTTACCACTTCTAGCCGTACTATTCTTCAACCTTTTTGCCTAGTGTGGTAGAATATAAAAAATCAAGTGTCCCACCCGATGTGTCTCAATTGGGTCATCATAATAAGCGAATCAGATAACCGTGTCGAGGTGCCAACTATAATCGGGAAAATATTAATTAATTGAGTATCTCGAGTTTAGTGAATATTTTGGTAATGAATAATTGATATAATGGAGGTGAATAAAGCTACGACTAGCTGTCGCGAACAGTAAATAAATAGTATGAAATGGTAATTTAAAATATTTTTTTAAAGTCACAATTTTAGAGATTACAGATTACTATTAACAGTGGAATTTCAAATAATTACTATTCTTTGTCGTGTATTAGTATCTGATACTGTTGGGAGGGGGGTCAGTAGAGGGAAACCTTCGTTCCTGAAAGTATATTTATATATGCCTTATGTCACATTATACCAATGGGAAAAAATTTGCGCACACGCATCTGATTGATTGTAATTTGAGTATATTACGATCGTTCAATAACTTCTAAATGAACAATTAAAAGATACGACATTCTCTGTTGTTTCATTGTTTTTTTAAACTGACTAGTCTTCGTGAGACTGTCAACACTAAATGTTTCATACTGTTATTATAGTAACGTGTAATAAATTGCAGATAAAATATTATCAATCCCAGTTCCTAGGCTTCTTGTTAAGTTCATTGTTTTATATCTTCCAAAAGAAATGTGTAAGTAATAATTATGTGATATAGATTAGATGACACGGCTCAAAATTTTTTGCATTGACTCAGGTGCACCCATTCTTTGTCTTCCTCAAAACTCTAAGCTTCCTAATCCCTCACAATTTTTTAAATTTCAGTTATCTATCTTGATTCGTATCTTCGATGCCTAATCTTTTCTACTACCATTAATACGTTTACTATCTCCACTATTCTGGAACTATTTTGACGATGTGGCATTAACATCCTAAAAACCCTATACACAAACACCTCAGGCAGAGTGAGGGCATACAACCACCTCTCTCGATTGTTCCATTCAAGCAGTGGGGTTAGACAGGGTTGCCCAATCTCACCATTCCTCTTCAACTTTGCCATCGATGACATTCTGGAAACAGCTCTGATGAATGTAAGTAATGGTGGTGTGGATCTGCTGCCTGGAGAAAGACTTCTCGACCTTGAGTATGCGGACGATATTGTCTTACTGTGCGATAATACCCAAGGCATGCAATCCGCACTTAATCAGTTGGCGATCAGTGTCCGTAGGTACGGTATGTGCTTTGCACCTTCGAAGTGCAAAGTACTTCTACAAGACTGGCAGGATTCTAATCTTGTACTCACCCTGGATGGTGAGCAGATAGAAGTAGTCGAGAAGTTCATGTATCTGGGTAGCTGCATAAGTGCTGGTGGGGGTGTGAGTGATGAGATCAATGCACGAATAGTGAAAGCCAGAGCGGCTTATGCCAATCTAGGCCACCTTTGGCGCCTTCGTGATGTTAGTCTGGCTGTAAAAGGTCGGATCTAAAACGCGTCGGTGAGAGCAGTTTTGCTCTATGCTTGTGAAACCTGGCCTCTCCGAGTTGAGGACGTTAGAAGACTCTCTGTGTTCGATCATCGCTGTCTCCGAAGGATTGCTGACATCCAGTGGCAACACCATGTCAGTAATGCAGAGGTTCGGCATCTTGTGATCGGGCACATAGACGATAATGCAATTGGTGTCACCATGTTGAAACACCGACTTCGGTGGTTTGGACATGTTTTACGAATGTCGTCCCAGAGAATTCCACGTCGTGCATTATTTGCCGACTCTGGGACTGGTTGTAAAAAGTGGAAAGGTGGTCAGTGTATGACATTGTGTCGTGGCATGAAAGAAAGATGCAAATGGCTTGCCTGCGTTGGTCCTTCACGACTCCCTGGTTGGTGCTACACAGTGGCTAGAGACGTTGTCAGATATGGCTCAGAATAGAAGCCAGTGGCGATGCTGCTGTGACCTTCTTTTACTTTTTTCATAAAAGGTGGTTGTGTCTTCCTTACCTGAAAGATTTCTTCTGATTGTACCTTTCCGTTCCCTCATTATTACTATTGTTATTACTACACTACCTTACACCATCCTCTTCGTTATTGTTATCTTTTTTTTCACGCTCCTTACTTTTTTTTTCTTTCTCTTCGAATGTTCATTGTTTTGTGTGGCGCATATATATTGGCGCTCTCTTGTACCAATATTTATGTGTTCAAATAAATAAATAATAAATTTCGACTGATTCGCACTTTTATGAAATGGTATTTAACATTTTTTAAGCACGTCATGTCGCTCAAAAAATTTTTAAAAGGAGGGGGGTAAATAACACCGTATAATTAGAGTTTGTGTCAGATAACTCGTATATGACTTTATTTAACTCTCACCTGATCGCTATTAGGTAGTTCACGTACTGTTGTCGCTTAATGAGTGTGTATTTTTACTTCCCTTTTTCTAAATATTAAGGTAATATAGTATTTGGATATATATATATATATATATAACTTCAATATTTTCTTAATTTTCACCAGGTTCAGTTTATTGTAACATAAGTACGGCGTCACTTTGATTTCTGATTATTTCTGCATAAATATAAATAATTTATGGACGACCTTTGAGCGATGCTAGACTAACCTTGAGAGTGTCCACTTAATAACTAGTACCAAATGTGGATTATAAACCTGTATAATTATGTAATTATGATTTACAGCTGACATCAGCTATAATACCAAAACTCTGTTTAGCCAAATGGATATGTGAGTTTCGCGCAAGATCCAAGACCTGTTATCTTATACCTCATTGGTTCGTCCATAAATTATGGTCTCGTCCACTAGTCTTGTTTATTTTCACTAGTCGTAGGTGAAGTTTTTTTACCTAGTTCATCCAAAAAAGTTTCCAAACTGAACTATAATCTAAATACAATATTGTTTTACATAATCCGCATTTATTTTTTAAAATTTGGAAACATATTTTCTTTCCCTACTCATTCATTTAAGAGTATTTTAGTTGTATTAGATCCTAATATCATTAATATCAATAGAAATTTTTACTTATTTTCATATATTGGAAGTAAGGTTGTAATTAATTAAACAATTTTACATCAAATTTACTAGTGTTATTTGTCTCAGATGTAATCCTTGTGTTTGTTTACTCATGAGTTATGACAGTACATATTGACAGTACTTGTTATGCTTATGTTACGTCTTCATATGTAAAGAGATTTAAAATTATCGTTCATATTCTAGATACAAATTTGCTAGTTTGGTTCCGGATGTGGTAATCTTTACCGCTAGTTGAAAATCTACAATTACAGTGAAGAGCCCAACGTCGATCACGTCAGCGCAAATGTATTCATTCTGTGACTTCCTCGAGATATTAAAATGTAGTATTACACCATCATTTGATTTCGTTTTTCCTTTCTATATTATTTTCACTGTAATTTGTATATGCATTATCTCAGATACTCTGAGTAATTTCCATCCCTTCGTATTAATATGAAGTATGGAGAATTTGGTCATTGCACATTTTAGCTAGGTCCTGAGTTACTTATCGACGCCTGACCAGTTAAGTTCTCGATTATTTATTAACATATAACGGTGAAAAATGGACATTATTACTTTTCATATGATTCTTTTTTGTTGAATTTTTATAGGATTCTAAAAAATCACTTGTTTGGTGTAATTATCAAATGACGTTATCAGGTCAAACACTTGTGTTAACACGAGTAAATGATTCTTCAAGTCAGGTAAATTTCAGTTTTTTATTCTTCCTCTCTTTCATTTACATTTATACTTAACTTTACAAGTTTTGTTTTAATTTTATCATTATCATATGCTTTGTTCCTACTTTTTATTTGTACTTTTATGTAACTATAGACAGGTTTAATGTAAGCGAATCTCTCTGTGTGTGTTTTTTCCTATGGGGTTAAATCAAATTGAACTTGATATATTTTTACACTGTTAGGGGAAAGTTTATCAGCAGTTATATTTCCACTAATATTTTACAAATTAAGAATTCATGTAAATATTATCTAAAATACGCAAAAAAATGGTGAACCTGTTGTTTTGTTTTTACAGAATGTTCCTTTATTGATTTTATTTCTAATCGTTCAATATTAGGTTAATTATCCTAGATTATGCATATGTAGCTAGGTGGGTGGAGAAAGAGAGAGAAAGAGGAAATTGGATAGCAGTTGTTTAGTTAATCGATTATACTTTCATTTGACAATATATTAGAATTGTAAATGACTGACTGATTCATTACACTGTAAAAAATAGTGGCCTGATTTTATACTGAAATCAAAGACATTTCGTTGTTACTTTACTTTTCTCCCTATGGACTCAGTCGTCTTTAAATATTTACACTAAACTGTTTACTAACTTAACCAAATATTTCTGTAGGCATAGTCAAGTTATGAACTTGTTTTTTTCGAATGTATTCGTACGTTAGATTCCTGTGCTTGTTCAAAAATGCATATTTTTGGTACGGTTTCTGTTGGAAATTGCATTGTTTCCCGAAAATTCTACTGGAGTCGACCATATGAAGGGACTTCCTAATGATTTTCATTTTAAATTTGCAAACCGCACCCATGTCGTTGGGGCAGGCACCACGGAACTCGCTTCCTGAATGGGTGGTTCTCAAAGCCACCTTCAAAAAAATATGCAAATGCCCGCGCGGGGAGTAAACTTTCAACATTATTTTGTTTCCTAGATAGTTTGAGGGCATCGCAAAAAAGTCCAGTCGAAGAGCTCTAGATTGGATTCACTATTACTTAAGTTTCTATCGTATAACTTAATACGAGTTATAACAGTTTACTTTCCTTTCTGTTCGTGATGGAGTATATATCCTGTGTTCCTCTGTCGATCAATATTAATTATTATCACTACATGACCTATAATGGTATTGGTATATTCGTGCCAAAAGTATGGATAATGTGATAATTAGCAAATTTTATAGATAATCAGTTGTTGGAGAAAGCGTAATTATTGTAATTCAGAACCCTCGTGGATAACTTTGTGATATATACATATATATCTGTTTGTTTTTCTTCTATGTTAAGAAAATATTTCAGTAGTATTGACTGAATATTCAGATTTAATATTTGGTAAGGCTTCTGGATTCGTCTATCCCTTTTTCCTAATGCCTTACGATAATCAATATTGGAGTTATTTATGGAGACTGTTTTGTATTTAATACCTTTGATCATGAGTTTGTTTATAGACTTCAGTATTTTTCGACAATGAATTTTTTCTCATTCAGATTTCTAACCATCACACTGATCTTAACGAAAATTCCATGCATATTCATATTCCATTGTCTGGAGAAAGTTTAATTTGGTATTCAGCTTCTGAGTTGCCCGGGATAACATGTACATCTTTACCATCGAATTGGGATTCAGGAGCCGGAGTTATTGGTGTGTTACACAGTTCAAAATTAAACTTAACATGTTACCTTAGCTTTTCGGATCGTCAGATAGCGTCTAATATCTTTGATCATTATGGACCAGGGAAAATCAGTGAAGAGTCTAAAGAGGTAACTATTTCTAATGTTTATCACTTTGTTGTTACATTTTTCGCCGTAGTTTGTTCTTTGTCAACAATTGCAAAGCATTGACCTTCAGGACGCTGACAATTGTTTTCAAAGCTTTTCTTTTATTTGTTTATTTTTATGAAATTCAGTTTCTTATAGGTGTTATACTATCTTTTTTAATATTTCTTTATTCCTACAGTCGCTGTCACGAACTCAAATTATTTCATACATATACTTATTAACTGTTGGTTCATAACCTTTAGTTAAACGTACAATTTAATGGTTGGCAGTGACTCAGTTTGTTAGAAACAAAGTTAAATACCTTAGACGATGACACTGCAGTGAACGAAAACTCGGGTACGGCAAACTAATTTATTGTTTTATGCAAACGTACACAGTGCCTTTGTAAAGTATGAAAATCGTACATTCAATACATCATTTGCATATCTTGTTTCATTTGTTCTTTACATACTTCATTATTCCTCTGATCCTGTTGTTATTCCGATTGCTCTTCGTTTTCCATCCTCTTCTCTTTATTTCAGTCTTATGCTAGTAAGTATTCGACTTCCAATTCCTACTACATACTGCTTGTCTGTCCGTATAAGTAGTTGATGTCACACTTGTCTACTCTTGAAAAGAAAGTCGCTCTTGAGGTCATTCTGCTCTCCATGCCGCTTTCTTTTTTGTCGCAGCCTATGCCACGCTTCCCGTCGAAATGTGGAGTCCATCAGCGCTCTGACCTCCATAGCTATTTCGACCTACCGGTTTAATTCAATGTGAAGATAATTTTCATCATATCTTGGATTTGGGACAAATAGCTACCCAGCTCCTCTAATCAACCAATAAACGAAATGTTTTTAATGGTCCCCATTTTGGATTTTTAAACCTTGTATGTACCATTGAGTCAGGCACCACGGTACTTGCATCATGAATGGTAAAGTCAAAGATAAATAAAATCAATTTATAAGTTGTTGGAGATACTAGATCCCCAGAAATTATTTGGTAATTTTATTTTGGATATTTGAATTTCACACTTTCATTCCAAGGATGCCTAATTTTACCTTCAGATTGTATTTCTTCCTTGGCAGGACCTTAAATGTCATTGGTTCATTCCTTCGTTTAATACGCTGTTTTGTGACGTTTTCCCAAGGAAATTTTTATACTGTATATATACTCTTGAGTTGTATGTCTGTTTGTCCGTACCTCTGGCTGCTTGGGGAATATACCATTTCCTCTGCTGAACCTGGTCTTCTGCTTCTAGTTAGCAGGACCCGGGCGCATTGGAATAGTTTAGTTTGTTTTGTTGTGTTGCTGACCTTTCGTTCCGTCCACCGATCTTAGTTGAACTCGTAATCTCTTCAAATGTGGTATAAGTACACCAGCACTTTTCTCTGTCTCATTGTTGCCTGGAGAACGTAACGAGCTTTTAACTATCCTTTTATTAGTTTAAAAGGTGAACCGAAAGTTATTGGGGGGAGGTGGACATAATAAAAGTTCATTTGAGGAGTGTTGGTTTACGTTCACCCTTGCTTTTCTATTGCGTTAAGATTCGAATTATTTAGTTAGAGCCTGGTCATTACAACAGTTCTAATATCCAATGTTGTTTTATTATTTGCATCTCACAGAAACACTCTACAGCCAATTCATCTCAACCTAGCTTGTCATCACATAGATTACGTTCTAAGTTTTCCTCTGGACGATCTAGTATTGGTCTTGCTGGACCTTCTGGTGTAGCGCCATTATTTAAAGCTGTTGGGACTGCTGCAGCATCAGTTGGTATGCAGCTTAGCGAGTATGTGAATTTTCAAGGATTATTACAATCTCATAAACAAGCTACAGTCTCTGTTTCTTCTCCACAAAAGTCTGCTTTATCTGAAAATGGTGATATTAACAAATCAAAGAGTAAGTTTTTGTCTGTTACAACTTTTCATGGTTCAGACAAACCGATAATAATACACGGTCGGCTGTCCGAAAGATCATAAAACTGAGTGTGTTCTGTTGTAATCTCTGAATTTCTCGAATGAAATGAACATTTTACTGCATAACTGTTCTGTTGAAAGTTTGTTTCCTTCTGTCAGCTATTTAAATTGTAAATTTATCAAGCAGAGTGGGGCTATTTTTTGAGGTTGTTTATTTGGAAGTTACTTTTTTCATGAAGTAGTATAAATTGCAAAAACTATTCAGAAGTATAGGGGTGTATGACAACTGTTTCGTCCTAATTTGGGACTTCTCACTTGTGCACTTTCACGATCTTACTAAGCGTCAAGCCTACGACTCTCGGACCGCACAATGAGTGAAATCATATAGAAACTGAATTGCTATCCGATGATTCACGTTTACAACAATAGTTTATTAACTTCATTGCTCAACTATCATTCAGTACCATTGATTATATCTGTCTCATTCGCAATATTGTTAAACTTCATCTGTAACGACTTCTTACTAGAACTTCAACAATTGTTATCGAAGACAATTAATAGCAAGTTTTAAGTTTTGTGTAACATGTCTACGCAGTAGATTGTCTTATTCTTACTAATTGTACAAAGTTGTTTGTCTTTTTCGTCTTTTTAAGATCTATAGGGCCGTCGCATCAGTGTGCCATATTTCTACCTGCGTTAGCAAATCACTGAACTTTCTAATCTGAAATGGAGTATAAAATGTCCCGAACTGGCTCATCATTCGTTTGGTTGATTTTTCTTGTATGATGAAATCTGTTTCACAATATATGAATAAATAGTTTAGGGCTTAAAATAATGAACATATAATCAGTATGTGGTTGTGCAGATTGTTGATTTTTATTGAAATCATGGACCGATCAATATTAGACCACCACTGAAAACCTCGTAGCGCTGGACGGGCTCTTCGTCCTGATATGCGACCCCTCAACAGTGGACATCCACGACTCTGTCCATATGAATCGAACCCAGAACCTAATATATTTTTATATTCTGGTAGTATTTACTTTTAATCTTATGATGTATATGTAATTATTTTACCATATGCTGTGATAAATTGCTTCTCATTGTCATCATTGTACAACAGAAAATTGCTCAATCATAATTATCTGATATTCTAATATTTTACTGATACTTTTTATAGGTGATCAGACTTCAAGCGTCCAATCATCTAATCCATCAGATTTTACTGCACAGCCTAGTAAAGCTAAAGAGCTTAGATTTCTTCCTTCTTTTCCTCGAGGTCGTGGACGTTTGCATCAAGCGCTTACGAAAATGAAACGTGCAGCAACAGCATCTTGTGATCCTACTACCCGTTCAAGTTCCAGCGTAACAACGAGAAGATTTGCTTCATCTCATGGTTTTGGGAAAAACAAATCTATTCATATAAGTTCTCCTCTTAAAGCATCCACTGAAGATATGAATTGCTCAAATAAATTAGGAAACATTTTCAATTCACCATCTCATTTACATAATAATCATAATAATAGTCAACTTGCATTATTATTGGCTACATCGGTCTCACCATCACCTTCGTTGCAAACTCCATGTTTAACGTACTTGCAGTTAGAATCTAATGAATCAGTTAACTCTAATATTGATTCATCTAGTAAGTAGATGTTTTATGTAAGGAATTGTTGATTAGATAATATGATGTATAAACTATTCCAAAGACTTGCAGTAAATTCACAGATGTTAAATGGTTTATATATCAAAATCATTATTTTATTGTTTATAGTATAACATTTTTTTAGTTTGGTGCTTTGAATACTGTTTAGTTTTGTTTTAACATAACATGGAATAAATAAATAAACCGCTACTGATTGTTATGACCTTACGGTCTGTTAATATATCAAGTGACTAAATCGCCTATTAGAAATACCGACTTATATGGCCAGACCAAAGATGTATTAACCATTGCGAGCAACTCAGAGTCAACTCTTAGTCCTTTGAGATAGTAGCTTCTCGCCTAACCCAGCCGGTTCAGTCCAGAACACCAATATCAGCCTTCTCTATATAAATAATGTATTTCAGACATACCCAGTTGATATACAAGCAAATCAGACTACATCATACCATAAAATACAATATAACAATTATACAGGATCAGGCCGAAAGTGACTGTGAGTGTGAGATGCTGTAATTAATAAATTGTAAGTAACTTAAGAATAGCGAATCGTATAATAGTAATCAGTAGGTCAAATGGAAGCTTATAATAAAAGGGATATGAATATACATATAACCTAGTTACTTAATAGTAATCCAATAGGAATATATGTAATAATAGTCCATAAATAATTCCTAGCAGTTACTATTCACTTATTCTTTGTCCGTATATAACATTGATATATATTCTTTCATGAGCGAATTTAATGCTGACTATTTTACTTTGTTAGTTTAACATTTTAGTTCTAAACAGAAAAATAACGACAAAGTCTACAGAAAATAAAATGAGTTCATCCTATTTCGTAGCTTGTTATCAGTTTCACACAGTTCAAAATTATAATTAATAATATTAATATAAACAGATGTTTAACACAGTTTAGTTTGTGAAGTTCAGATAAATGTTCAAATTGTAACTGAGATCAATATAATACGGAGTGTAGAATACAAAATGTATGGATAAACATAATTGCGATCGATGTATGTTCGTATGTTGGAAAATAGTGTAATGTAGAGTAGAATAGATGTTCTAGATACTAATAAACATAATCAAGATAAAACAGGTTATGTAAGAGTAATGAAGTTGATAATCAATTGTGTAATCACTCAACATGATAAGAAGTGAAACCAAAGAAATCTGTTAACGTTTGTGAGACGACGTAAGAAATAAAGATTATCCTGCGAACCTTGTTTTTGCTCTGTTTAAATTCAACAAAGGACCTAGTTGCATGAAATTCTAGTTTTATTCTACTGAGTTGGTTAAGAAAGCATGCTCATAAAAAGTTCCAATTCCAAATGATTAAAAATCCGAAATATACGAATTAATTCGTTGCATACAAAGGATGCTTTGATGATCCTGTATTCATGGGATTCGTATCCTATAAGTGCATTTCGTGCTTCGAGTGTGTGGAGTATTTTGTTGCTCATGACTAGAGTACAGCAGCATCTCTCTTGAATCTATCTTTTTTTGTCCGGTTTGGGTCCCATGTGTTTCACTGATTCCAAGCACCATAAGAGCTACAGATGGAGTTGGAATAATAAAATATACATGTTAAAATCTAAAAAGAATACCTTCATAAAAACTTAGTATGTACTGTAGATATTCTTGTTCTTCATAGTTTTTTTGTATGTTAAACTTTTTTATCGTTTAGATTTGTCAGAAGGTCCTCATGAATATTCAAACAAAGAAACAGGTCGTTATATCGATATATCAGTCAATCAACAATCTAGAAGAGAACATAAAGCAACCAGTCAGCTTACTGTTTTAGTATCGGAAACTGGAGATCAAGACATAAACTCAGATGGTAATGCTATTCAAAGTACTAGTAATCGAAGTGAATGCACATTGTTTGTTCAAACCAAACATCCTTTCGTACCATTGCCTGTTCAATTAAGTAACCCTTTACCATTACATAAATGTCCTAGAAGTACATTATCTCCCGTAAGTTTTCTTTATAACCTATTTTATACTATTAAATGTTTTCTCTTTGTTTTGATGAAATGTTTCAAAAGAAAAACTTTCGGAAAGAATTATTTTTTTTCAATTCCTTGAAATAAATTACTATGTTATTGATATACGTAATTTCTAATAGTAGTAGTGTGGTATATGCTGCTTATATGCCGACAGATATAAGTAGTATGTAGCACCAATCGGGTGTAGAATGTCTGCCAGCGGAAGATTGAATTAAAGAGAACAGTAAGGGAAATAGACAGCAATTGTACTAATAACAGGATTGAAAAAATCATCATCAATCAGTTGAAACGATTTTAAGTAACTCACACCAGAAGAATCGAGTAACACGTTTTCAGATTCACTCACAGTTGAAAAATGTGAACTCTACGGCCATTGATTACAGATCATACTTTCCAATGATCAGTTGAGTATTTCGTTTTCCACACAAGTCTTCATGCGTATATAATTAATATAGTTTACTAGTGTCTCAGTGATTGAAACAATGAATGTTTTGCCTATTGAATATAGGCTTCGAAGCTTGTTTCATCTATTTCGATTAGTATCATTAGCTCTTTTTTGCATTTATGTATATATGTCAAACTTTATAATAAAAATCCGTAGTCTGTGCTTGCGTAGTTATTTTTGTCCTTTGAAATAATGAGACTAGATACGATAAAAATGGTAATAATTATCATCACCTAATCCTGTTTTTCGTACATTCAAATTGCCATTTACCTGTAGGTTATGTTTAATTACATTCTCAACATTGTCTTCGCAATTCGATTCTTTTTAAAACTGTTATTATAGCTTCGTCCACACTGTCTTTCGATTTGATTCTTCTCTACCATTTCTTTCTTTTCATCTTAGTTTGTTCCTTTTGTGGTAGAACTATGCGTTACACTAGTCGAACGCTATGGTCTCAATTGTATCGGTATTTATCGTTTATCTGGAAGTAAGGTGGCTCATGACTTCATTACCTCTGAATTAAGTAGGGTAAGTCGTATTTCAAAGTTTCGATTGATTTTGTTTAATCTTTTATGATATTGTCAGACTATAAAGTGACCATAAGTTTTACCAATCGTCATTGATCTTATTAAATTGTCTGATCTGAGAATACACTACTATTGGGTTGTTTATTCGCGTGCATAAAAAAGAATATCGTTTATTAGTAATTCAATTTGAAATTTATTCTTGATCACTAATTTCTTTCTAGTGAAACACGATCACTATCATTTGATGTAGTGAGTTGTTTTCTTTTTGAGTGGTGTATCCTAGTATCGTTCTTAATTTAAATGAATGAGATCATCTAGGATTATTGCTAAGCATATTTAACGTAAATGTTATAACTTTTCAATTTAACCACGTCGAAACTAAGTTGATTTAGTGTGTAGTGTAGTTTCAAACGTTTAAACTCTTACACATTTTGTTTTTAACAAAATTATATCAATAACCTTTTCTTGAAGAATTGACTTTTAGTTTTCATTTTCTGCTTCGTTTCACTACAGTTATTTTTTTGTTGAGTTAAGTAAAATCTTTGACTAATTTTTGTAAATCAATATATATGGGGTTTTCATGTGTTTATTTCTTTCTTTCTCGAATAACTTTCATCACATAATTATATTTTTTAGTAAAGTTTATTATTTTGTGGTTAAAGTAGTGAACACTGTTTTCTCTCTAATGCCGGCCATGAGACAATGTTACATTCTACTATCATTACATTCAGATACAAAAGATCTCTATAAATTCACCCAACCCACTATGCTAGTGAGAAGTCCATGGAATGACTAGAAAGCTTTAATTGGCAAACTGAGTCGATAGGTACATAAATCATTGGTATATTGTACATTTGTGCCTCAGATCCAGACTGTTATATCTTGAAAAACTGATTTTTCTTGATATTACCGCGTATAACTGAGCACTAGAACACCAAAACCCTTCCAAGTCGCAGTAAGAAGACAGAAGACTAACGAAAGGAATATTATTCCAAACAGTGTCAAACATAGTACAAAATTATCAGGTATTTATAGTTTTTAGTGAGAACGAAGTCATCATTACAGTCTTCCAATCCGCGTACAAGGGGTTATTAGCATTATCCAATGGGGAAGCTACACGTTGGAATTCTAGAACATTCTTCCGAAAGGTTATTGAATGGAACGTCTTCGGCTCCTTCTAAGCCTCTTACAGCTTCCTCGAGTTCACCGGTGGTCCGTCGTCACACAGACAATGTCATATGTGCTGGGACATTGATTAAAGTGTGTAATCGGCTCCTTCTAATGGTGCACCTTGTTTATAATCTCTCACGTACCGTTTGGTCTCGAGGTGCCATGTGGGCGCAGGGGGCCTAGATGTCTAAACTATACCACCCTGTCAGACAAATATCACTGATAGCTATGGATGGTGGTTGCTCGAAACGGAATCAATGGTAAGCTGTGAACTGTTGGTTGCCAACGACATCAACGTCCTTGGTTCTTTTTCCCTAGTGTACTTGTAGATGTCCATTGCTTTGATGGTTCCGACACTATGATGAAATAGTTGCTCAAACCTTAGGGGTTTGGAAGTAGTGGAAACTATCAAAATATACAAAAAATGACAGGTTAAGTGCCAACAACGGTTAGTCAAGTTTAAGGTTATCAGGAAAAGCTTCGAGTCACTTGTAGAGTAATTCCCATAGCTTACATCGTCCAAAGCTTGTGCAGATGTTGTCTTGGATAACAATAAAAGCTTTACGATTAAACTATCTATCTCTGGCAACTCGATTTCTGCAAATATTTCCTAGTTTTCTATGGTTGTTTAGCTAAAGTAACTCTGTGATATATGTTGTAAGTTGAACAATCGTCAGTAAACTTCCATTAATAATTAATATTTTAATAGCGTTTGTTACTCATTATAATATTGTTATTTCGTTACATTATTGTAAAATGTTTTAGAATATTTGATGTTATATTTTCCGAATTGTCTGTTAAAATTGTAAAGTGGGAGCTGTCGAAAGAATATTTCTATAGTTGTAATCAATCATACAACGAAGGAAGGTGTTTATTTGATCTTATTTCTCAGTCTTAAAAAATAAAATAACATTTTCATGAAAATTTCATCATTATCTGATGTTATATTGTGATATGGTTACATTAAATTATCACTCACCTATTGGCCAGTTAGTTTCGACAGAGTTCTTGCATTACTCCCCTATATTCGTATAATTTATCTTCTATAGAGGGCTCCCATAGATTTAACATGGTGAATTTCAATAAAAAGTCCATAAACGTCGTGTTTGTTTTTTGAAGAGATCAGAAGTTACTTAACAGTTCATAATATTGAGAAGTGTTGTGCTACGATTGGTGAATAAATTTCATTTAATTGAATTTAATTCCCAATTATGTATTTATTTAATAAACAGTTTACACATATTTCGACCTACTATCAATGAATGTTTTTAAATGTTTACTTATGTTTTCAGTCATGAAACTTATAAATAAATAATATGTAAAACAAAGTTTTGTTTAAATTAAAAACTAATAATTTATGAAAATATCTGTTGGGGGAACGGAATGTTCCTTGAATTTACCAGAAAATGATACAATTATTTTAAGTCACTATTTTGTATTTGTCAACTTCAAACGTTAAATTTGGAGCCTTAGAAGTGATATTCTCATTAGCTGACTGTTAAAAAATATGCTTTTAAATTTTGCATAAATATCTACTCTTTTTCTGATGTATCATCGTCAATTATAGTTTTAGGAATACTTCTGGTTTTTATTGTTTACTTAATTGTAGAGTGCTGAGTCAAAGCGTTATTGACGTTACAGTCTGAATTAGATTGGGTTAGAGTTATTTCATATGATTACATATGTTCTTCTGAATTCCACTAGATTAACAGGCTGATATATTATAAGAAATACTATGTAAATCAAGGTTTTGTTTGCATTATAATAATGATATAAAAAAGTTTACAGAGACGTTTTCCTTATTTTTCTAGGATATTACTACAATCGATGTAACATCAGATAAATGGAATGATTTACATGCTGTTTGTGGAGTTTTGAAAACATTTCTACGCAATCTTCCAGATTCCCTTTTTCCTAAAGGTGACTTATTTAACATTCTTTACATACATATATACATAAGTGCAGATATATTTCTTTTTTTTACCTTCTTTTATGTTATATTTTTAATCAACTACATATTAAATGTCACTTTGCTTGTTTTATTTAGGTTTTTTAAAATTACGACAATATATTTCTCTGTCATATATAATCTAGGTTACAAAGGTCACTTTAAAATGATAACGGTTGAACAATATTCCTTTCTCTTGGTTGATTTTGACTGATTAATTTTAACCCATAAAATTTCTATTATAACATCGATGAGGACTTCTTTTGAATTTGTCAAGAATATAAGCATTCTTTTTTGTTATCCGTTCAACTTGTCAAATTTTGCGTAAATGTTTATCAATATTTATTTAAATTGTTAGGTAATTTCTTACTCTTAGTTCTTTTTATTATCTTGAAAAAAGCAAAATCAAAGAATTAACTAAAATAATATGAATTCGTTTTATTTTGTTAGGTCCTTATCAGTTACTTGCGTTGGTATTTTCTAAGTGACATTCAGTAGTCAATGTATTTAATCTGAAATTTTCATTGAGGTTATACAATATTTGCTTAGTATTTTTTTAAGGAAAAACAAACTTCGAACTGATTTATTCCCGTGATATATGACTAGTTAGAGTAAAATGTGATTGGTTACTGAGCATTGATGAATGGGCGGACAGACAGCGTACTGACTATTTAATACGTGATTTTCTTTCCTATTATTGTTTTGTTTTCTTAACTCACTGAGTGTAAAGTAATTGTAATTGTGTTAAGTGTTATTTGGCCTATACTATGGTTCGCTATGTTTGATCGTGAATCATGTATTTGGTTTAACGTAATCCAGTCTGTGCAGTGTATCGATCCAGTATCCTATCTAAAGGTAATATAGTCTAAATTCCGGTGGGTTAGTAATAATAGTAGTATATTTTGGCAAACAGAAAATAATGTAATCCTACCATTATGCTTTTCCTACTCAATAACTAAGAATCGATCACGAAATCATCTCAATGTTTATCTCATCATGGTTTTAAATTGACGTAATGATGATATATTATTGGCACTACATCTTGTTATTGATTGTTCCTAACTAATTAATCATTACGTGTATGTGTTGAGTATTCATTATTTTTAGATTTCCTTAACGAATTTTCTCATTTAAACTGTTTTTTTCAAAGTTGTTTCACTTCACTAGTACTCTGGCCATTTATGTCTTAACTCAGTTAATAACATTCATATACTTTATTAGTTGACAGTATCACTGACGTTTTTCTCACTTTTAATTTTTTCCTCCTTGTTGGCGTACATATAGTTATGTATCCAGATTTTCTGGCTGCGTGTCGCTTATCACAACGTGAAAAACGTCTTCTATCTATTCAACGTTTATTAAGTATTATGGAATGTTATCCATGTCATCCAGAGTATAGAGCACATAGAGCTACACTTCGTTATCTTGTTACTCATTTAGCTCGTGTTAGTGCTCGTGAAGGAGTGAATAAAATGACAGCATATAATTTAGCGTTAGTATTTGCACCAAATCTTGTACAACCATGTGAAGATTCGCCTGAATTACTAATGAGTGATTCTAAATATAAAATTATGGTAAGCAGTATATTCAGCACGCATTTGTTTCTACATATACGTTTAATGTAAGAAATTATTTTATAATAATTTAACAATATCAGTGAGAATATTCTTGTATTAATCATTTGTTTAAGTTTGACTATTATATTCCTTATATGTATATCTATGCTTGTGTATAGTGTGTTAAACTGAGAGTGAATGTGGTCTCTTAAATTGATAGAGATACATAGCTTAAAAAGTCAAATTGTCATATATATGTTATTAGCATGGAAGAATTACAATCATGACATCAGTGAAATGTCGTATTTCAATATGATTTTTTCTATAGTTGAATGAACTGTCGAAACTAAGAAAAAACAGTAATATTTTAGTACATGAATAAGTTTTCAGATTATCTGACAATTAAGTGCTTAATTTATCACGACTAGTAAACAATACGTAGTTTTGTTTAAAAGGAAAAACAAAACACTTTAAAGATTGTTATCGTGATAATTTATAGTCAGTTAAATAGTTGTTAGAAATACTATGAAGTAAATGGTTATTTAAATTTTACACATTTCATAAATCACAAACTTACACCTGTTACCCCTCATGGAGGAACGTAGGCTGCCCACCAGCGTTTTCCATCGAACTCTTTCCTGGCCAATCCTTTCCATTTGTTTCCAGTTCCTATTCATCGTTTGTATATCTGCTTCAAATTCTCGACGCAGTGTGTTCCTTGGTCTTCCTCTTTTCCGTTTACCTTCAGAATTCCAAGCTAGCGCTTTCTTCGTGATGCAGTTTGATTTCACAAAGCAGTTACCGTATTCTGTTTGCTTTTTAAAGATAGAACAAATTATCGTAATTTTTTGTTTTTGTACTTCGTAAAAAATAAACGTGATCATCATAGATTTGTGATTTAATGTATTATTGAATAAAAAGGAGCAGCTTCACCACTTCAATCTTTTCTTTTCTGTAATTGAGTTAACTATGCAATTAGGCTAGTGATTGATATTTTTCCTCTCAAGAAAATTTAGCAGAGAAACTTTTCTCTTCGATGATGTCATTTACTCAAGCTATGCAATTTTGTTTATAAAGCAATCCATAAAAAAATAGGATGAAGATTACGTCATATCAGGTATTAAAAGAAAGTTGCGTAACGATTGAAAGATGCTAAAATGAAATTCAATGTACGAAATATAATTGTCCACTTCACGAGTATGAGGAAGGTTAAGAATGGATTAAAGAAGTGATGATAAAAGTGAAAAATTTTGCTCTTCTTAAGATCAAATTGCTTGACTGTATAGATGATTTTGAGTGACTTACCTGATGGGGGACAATGTGACCAGAGTTAGTGAGATGTTCGAGTATTAAACTATTGATCAGTGTGGATTTCCTAATTGGAAGATATTTCACTTTGAAAATCAAGGAAGTGTTACGATAACTCATTGCGTGCTGTTATGAATTAACCGATATTGGGAATGTTTAAATCCTTGGATTTCGATTGAAAGTGACTTAGTTTTTCCATGTTCACATCGGCCTGGTTTCGATCTCCCTGTAGTCAGGTCGTCATTGCACATTACTAGGTATTCTTGGATGAGAGTGAGACAATTTCCTAGTCACTTCTGCTTCGTTTTTCAGTAATTTTTCAATTATGTTGAGTTTTTGAGACAAAAAAAAACACTTTTTCATTAGATTATATATGTTACATAAGTGAATAATTGATAATTATTTTGAAGAACGTCGTAAATATTCAAGTTATGACAAAAATGTCGTTTATATTTAACCCAAGATTTATATGGTTTCTTCAGGGTTTTTTTGAAGTACACACACACATCACACGAAAGTTAACTGTCGTGTATATCATTTATAATTTAATTGACTTTTCTATCGTTAATCATTTCATGGATTACTTAAACCTTACTCATTTGAAGTAGGATAGAATGAATTACTGAATAATTGCAGATAGATAGAAAGAGGAAAGGAACAAGAGAGTGAGGGTGAGAAAGAGAATTAATGATATCCTAACAGAAACTTTTACATTTGCACACCTGTTAATGAATTTCATTAGTTTATTAAAGTAATGCTGAATGAATATACCCTCATGTTATTACTTTTATTACTATTATCAACATCATTACAAAACATGTTCATTATTTTGTTGTAATTCGATAATCAAACTGATCTCTTTATTAACTATTTTTATGTTTAATTTCTTTTCTGTTTTTTTTGTAGCTTGTTGAAACTGTGATCAAATATCACGCGTGGATATTTTCACCAGATTTAGGGCTAGAAAGTGGTTGCTCTGTCCCACCAGATTCAACAGAAGATTTAACACCGGAAATTGATGTTAATAGTAAGAATAATTCTACAATATGTGATAGTTCAACAATAGATTCTGAGGATTCAATTCAACAACCGGGACGATTAGAAGGTAACAAAAACACAATTATAAAAAAACTGTAAATAACTTATTTTTGCGAACGTAGGAATAGATTAGAAGAAAGTTATAGGCGGTCAAACCAAGATTTGAAATAAGTTCATGAAGTCAGTGATTGTCGGACGATTGTGATAGTAAGCACAGAATAAACCTACCTGGCTGGGGTCTGCGTGTTCGCTGTAACCAATGGTTGGAAGAGACGTTAGATAACATGGTTCGGAATCAGTTGCAGTGGCGCAAACGCATTCAGTCTTTATTTTAAAATGCTTATACTTTTCTATCTCACGAATTCATCCTTTTTCGTATCAATTGTCTATGTGCACCACCACTGATGATACTGTTACTACCTCTACTACTTTGGAATTCTTGATAATTTCATCTCGTCTTACTAGTATGGCGTGACATCTTTAAGCGATATGCATTTGTCCCAGGTGCTTCGTTGCTTTTACGACTGACTAACTGATTGAATTTTATAGCTGCCAAGTATTTTGCTCAGCATTTGACCTAATTAAAACTGGATGTTTTTTCTGGCCAGACAAAATACCTTGTCCGTTTTGTTTAAAGAATACACTGTAAAGGTCATAGAAAGAATATGTAGAAAAAAAATATATACATATAACTCAAGTGAGAAAAAACTAAAGCAATCTATAAAATATTATTCCTTTCATTAGAACACGTTTTTTCCTATTTCTATGGTTCAAATAGATGATGGAATGACTAACAATGCCAGATTTATACGTTTTTTATACACTACATAAATAATGTTCTACATTTCCAACATACTTTATGCAAGAACTTCAATGTGTATTACACCTAAAATTTATTTATTTACATATTCAAACACATAAACGTTGGTACGCGGCGGCACCAATTATATACGCGCCGCACTTTATAATTTGATTTGTGTGACGGCTGGAATACCGCTCGGGTGCCCAAACTGAGGCAGGTGGTTTTTTTAGGGGACCATTCTCCGAGCCTTTGACTTAGTGGTTTAATCCACAAGGCAACTGAGCCAACGTAAGGAGATGCGGTAACCGATGGCCAAGAAAAGGTTCATACTCTATTTGTTGCTTAATAATCCTGGAACCCATGTACACCGTTTGCTTGGAAATAAGGTTTTCTAACTCGACTAGGTGGATCCTCCGTACCTGGAACATATGTTCCTGTAGGTTCTACCATGCCAGACAGGTCGATTGGTGAACGGTAAGACTAAAAGCAGCAACTCAAGGTCTGAGGGCGAAGTCGTACTGCTGACTGTAGAGAGGTGTGACAGCAGTAAGGTGTTTCCCTCGGACAACCAGCATGACAGCGATGCTGCCTTCCCACAAGGAGGGGTAGGGTTAGAAAAGGTCGACCCTAAAAATGTCACACCTCACCTCACGGATTTCCGTCTCCGGCGGTAAGGCCCTTTGAAGAACGGAGCTAACACGTCAAAAACCTTTTATAAAAAGGCCGTGCGCGACCGGCCTCAAACAGTTATCCCTTGAGCTCTGCGGTCACGCTCCCAGGTCGTCAAGACCAACACTAATCCAATTTCCTTTTCAGGTTCCTCAAGAAATACCCTTCCACGGTGTGGGCAGCCGGGAAGTGACATCAGCCCTCATACCCGTAACAACACACGAGACCAAGTTGGTCACCATCGAATCTTTCCTACACCTCCTAATACCTCTCTTATCTCCATGACTAACCCTCCTCACGTCTGTTCATCATCTCGCACCGCTAGGGCAAACGATTCGAGTACGCAGAACGCCATTCCTGGTCTCCTGAAACCACGCTCTAAACTACACGTAGGAGCTTTTAAAGTCCGAACACTATGCCAAATAGGACAACAGGCTTCCTTAACTAGGACTTTAGAATCCCGCGCCATCGATGTGTGCTGCGTCTCCGAAACGCGCATACAGGATCCGAGTAGCGTCATTCATTTGACCTCACCATGCCAAAATAAACAACCGACTCGACCCACACTTCGTGTATCTGGAAGCCCTGATTCTGCTTCCCGTGGCCTCCTTTGTGTGGGTATAGCATTGAGTCCTAGGGCAGAACTAGCTCTCTCAGAGTGGATCCCAGTAGACAGTCGTTTGTGCGCTGTCCGACTGAACGGAACAATAAGGATCCGAAAAGATAGGGACACTCGTCGTTGCCTCTTCGTCGTCTCGGCTTATTCTCCCACTGACTGCATCTCAGATGATGTGAAAGATGAGTTTTACAGAAAGCTCTCCGACCTTCTCCGAAAAGCTAGGCGCTCGGATGTAGTGATAATGGCCGGTAACTTTAATGCTCAAGTAGGTAAACTAAGCGATAGGGAAAGACACCTAGGTGGATCTTATGGTGTCGTGGCTCAAAGAACAGACAATCGCGACCGTCTGTTGCAGCTATGCTCAGATAACCGCCTGTTCCTTGCAAATACTAACTTTAAGCATAAGGAAAAACATCTTTTAACATGGCGACCCCCTAATTCGTCCCAACGTTGGACCCAAATAGATCACATCGCTATCAGCCACCGATGGAGGAGCTCGATAGAAGACTGTCGCTCATTCTGGAGCACATGCTTAGATTCAGATCATGCTCTAGTGCGAGTGCGTATTTGCTTGCGTCTTACTGGACGTAGGAAAGACGCTGCAAGGAAACTTCTTAAGGGCCTACTTAATGATAGCCAGGGTAAGAGTATATTTCAGGAACAACTAGGAAAATAGTTAGGCAGCCATGTATGTGATGCCCACCCCGAGGCAGCATGCAATGATATCCGAAAAGCTGTGGAAACAGCAGTGTCATTTATGGCGTAGGCGAGATATCCGTCTATCAACCAAAGGACGTGTTTACTGTGCAGCAGTTCGTCCCGTCCTAATTTATGGCAGTGAAACATGGCCGGTAAGAGTAGAGGATATTCGTAGGTTACTAATATTCGATCATAGGTGTTTTCGAAACATTGCTCTTATATCATGGTACCATCGAGTAAGTTATTTAGTTGTTAGGAAACGGGTACTAGGTAAGGATGGCAAATCGATTGATGACGTAGTGAAACTTCATCAGTTGAGATGGCTGGGACACGTGTTACATATGCCCAACTACCGACTACCTCGACGTGCTATGTTCAGTGGTATAGGAGTAGGTTGGAAGAAAGCAAGGGGCGGCCAAACCAAAACATGGCACAAGTCCATGAAGTCACTGACAAGTGGACTGAGTCATGTTGGTAGGTGCAGACTACCTGGTTGGGGACCGCGAGATGATAGCAACCGATGGTTAGAGACCCTGAATGACATGGCTCAAAATCGTTTGCAATGACGCAGGTGCATCCATTCTCTGTGTTCTCCCAAATTCTAATCTTCTGAATTCTTCATGTCACTTTTTTCCTCTTTCCAAATTTATTTCACTGGATTATACTCTTTAAATAACATCTCCAAACCCTAATCTTCCCGATTAGTGCTTATACTCTTTCTACCTCTACCACTACGGGATTTGAATCGACAACTGCATCTCTGTGCTAATGTGGTGTGGCAACTCGAAGTGGTGTACGTACGTACGAAGTTCTACGTTGTTACTGACTGATTGACTGATCCTCCGTACCTACCAACTCGATTAAAGCTCCGGATTTTAGCTTTTCGTTCTTTTAATTTCGTAAGCAACACCCTTACATCGAGAAGGAAGTGATTAGGACTTCCTTAGTGGTGGTTGTATACGCGTGGTCATGTGAGAGCGTTTCGAGGAGAGCGAACTCTCCACACCCTTTACTGTATTTGGGGGGCATATATACATATATAGAAATAATTTGTCTGCAGTCTGTATTGTTATTCATACCAAAGTATATCCTCATTTGTTGAGTCAGTCAGTCAGTCAGTCAGCTACAACGTAGGACCAGGCACATATATGCATCGGTCCAAGCTGCCACATTATAAGCACAACTAGATGAACACCAAAACCATCGAACTAGTTAGTTCAGTGGTAGTATTATATAAAAGATTGTGTATAAGTATATAGTACAGAAAAAATTTTATAAAGCAATTTTAATCCCATTGTTTGAGGGAAGACAGAGAGTGTATACACCAACGCCATTGTGATCGATTCTGAGCCATGTCACCAAGAGTCCCCAACCATTGGTTATGATGATCACGTGAGCCCTAACCAAGTAGTCTGCATCTCCCAACATGGCTCAGACCAGAAGTTAGTGACTTCAAGCACTGATGCCACGTTTTGGTTTGGCCACCCCTAACTTTCTTCCAACCATCCCGAACGCCGGTTAGCATTGCACGTCGTGGTAATCGGTGTTCAGGCATACGTAACACGTGGCTCAACCATCTCAGTCGATGAAGATTCACAACCTCATCAACTGATTTACCATCATTACCTAATACCTTGCGTCTAACTTCACTATTACTTACCCGGTGATCCCAGCAGACGCCAGCAATATTTCTGAGGCATCTGTGGTCAAATATTAGTAGCTTACGAGTGTCTTCTACTCTTAATGGCCATGTTTCGCTGCCGTAAATTAAAACAGAATGGACTGCCGCGCAGTTTACTCGTCCTTTTATTAATAGACGGATATCTCGCCTTTGCCATAGGTGACGTAAGTTGGCAAAAGCCAAACGAGCTTTTCGAATCTGTGCTGAGATTTCGTCAGACACCAACCCATTAAGGCTGATCAGACTTCCAAGATAAGTGAAGTTGTCAACGCGTTCGACTAATTCACTCCCTATCCTTAGTTCAGGTGTTGACGCAGACCAGTCCCGAAGCAACAACTTGCATTTAGAGGGAGAGAAGAGCATTCCAAGCATTCTGGCATTGTTGCTCAGTGCTATTAAAAGACTCTGCATTCTATCAGCGTCTTCACCAAACAGGACTATGTCATCCGCGTATTCTAAGTCGATAAGTGGACCTCCTGGAAGGAGATCGATACCCGAGAATTCAGTAGACAAGAATGTTATTTCCATCAATAAGCCTATGATGAAGTTAAACAAAAATGGAGAAAGTGGACAGCCTTGACGGACACCACTTGAGGTTGCAAAAGTAGATGACAGTTCGCCATAAGCTCTGACCCGACTGGTAGCGTTCGAGTAAAGAGCCTTTACAAGGTTTATGTACTTCTGAGGTACATTTTTCAATGACAGACACTGCCACAGAATCTCGCGGTCTACCGAGTCAAATGCTGCTTTTAAGTCGAGAAAGACCATCATTGTCGGACGCCGATAAGTATGCCTGTGTTCTAGAACCTGACGAATGGTGGATATGTAGTCGATGCAGCCACGACCAGGTCTGAAGCCAGCTTGATTCTCTCGTGTTTGCAGTTCACGAGTCTTAGTTAGGCGTCCGATAATTATCGAGGCTAGTATTTTAGATACTATATTAATTAGACTAATGCCTCTATGGTTGTCACAGGATGATTTTGACCCTTTCTTATATATTGGGACGATAAGTGATTGTGACCAGTCAGATGGGATAACGTCTAACTCCCAGATCTTAGCTAAAATATTAGTCAACCTAATCGCTAAAATTGGACCACCATCCTTAAAGACCTCTGGAGCCAATCCATCTGGACCAGCTGCCCTTCCTCGTTTCAGATTAACTATAGCCTTCTCAACTTCAGCAAGAGTTGGGGGACCTACTTCAATGTTCCCTTCACACTGTCTGGGAATGGAGGGTAGTTGTAGAGTAGCTGAAGGCCAGCTGAACTGTTCTCTGAAATGTTCCGCCCATCGTTCTAAACGTCTGGACTGAGAGCAGATGAGAGTGTCGTCTTTTTCCGAAATAGTCTGAATTACACTTGACTTATTAATTCCAATTTCTTTTATTAGTCTGTAGAGCTGTCTTGTGTTCCTTATAGCCGCCGCCTTTTCCATCTCTTTTGCTTTCGTTGAACATAATTTTGAATGAAATATACTAGACATCTGTGGTCGTCGTAATTTAGGACTTTTCAAATGGTTATGCACGTACAATTTAACGAGAAATAGAATCCTGGAACTTCATATGATCAGGATCACTTCTTGTTTACAATTTATATGTAGTGGATATATATATATATATATATATATATATATAGAGAGAGAGAGAGAGAGAGAAAGTAAAAGTCTAACTTGTGCTATTATTGTGTTATCGCCGTTAAAGTATAACTTCATAAAAATATTCTTGCTTTATGATGGTATTCAACTTTAATTTAATGTAACAAAGTTTAATTTCGTATATCTTCCTCCGTACATTTGATTTTATGTTGCGAGAGTGCTTTCGGGTTATTTACAATGAATTATTATCAGAATGTTTATATAAATCCTATCAGAAAGAACTTAAAGTTAAGCATATTTTTAGTTAATTTTGTTCTCGTTGACGTTTAAAGCGTATAGTGTAATTGTACTAACATGGAAACTACTTGTATGTCATAAATATGAATATCATTACCCCCTATTTTTTCCACTGCTTCAAGGTGACGTTCAACCGTTGGTCGCTGAATTATTAACTGCTGCTGCAAGCCTACCACCTCCACCATCTGACATGGATTTAGAAACAGCTGAAATACCTGGACCAGAATCTGATCGACCTTCTGACATCATTATGTCTAGACCACGTTTCACTTCAATCCCGACTAGTAATTGGTCGTCTTCAGTAACAAGTATTTCTAGAATATCATCTGGTGGCCTACTCAATGAGTTGAGCACAACAACAGATAATTTATCCACATTAAAAATTAAATCAGATTTCAGTGAAGATCAAACAATTGCATCAGATGTAGAACATAATGAAACTGAAGGACATTTATTAAGTGGTACTAGTTCAATTTTGTGAGTTAAATTTATTGTTTTATAGTTTACCGAGTATAATTTTTTAAATATTCATTAACATTTGGATGCGTAATCATCTCTACAGTATGCAACTTTTTTCGGTTTGATTTCATGTATTAATAGTACAAGCAATTATTCATCTCTGTTTTCTTTCCCCATGATACTCATTATTCAATGGAAATTTGGTGGATTTATCTAGTTAATTATATTATATTATATTTTTAACTGTTGAATCCCAGGTTCAAACCTGTCTTTACCATGGATATAGGCATCTTAGCACTAGTATTATTAATCTTCATGTAGAAAATAAGCGTATTGGTACCGGACAGACCACTTCACTCGTCTTGAAAGTTTCATCAGCTCTTCTATGTTGTTGTGTGACAAAATTTCGGGAGAGATTTCGAAAGCTGCGTTGACTTCTGCCACGATCCTGTCGCTTGTAGCATATTTAAGAGGTTCATCTGCTAATCAACGGGCTAATATACTTCTGAATAGTCCTCTATGTATTATTAATTTCTTTTGATCAAGCAGAGTTCTGTCATGAACACATTTATTTTATACTGTTTTGTTTATATGAAGGTACATTGATATCAATTGTAGTTTTAAGTAAAATTCGATGGTAAACGAGACCTACATCCAACGTATGATATAATTATTGGTATTCTACTGTTTTTCTCTCTTTTTATGAACCCTTATTATAGACGATCCCTTCGGACTCCTTCAGGGTTCGGTACTAAACTGGATAGTAAGTTCTATACTTTACTTGTTCATTTATTGTTCCATATCGAAAATATATTGATTTATATGAAAATTTGTTGAAATGACTAAAACAATAATTTAATCCTGACTTGTGACATAATTCTCCTTCATTAAGCCTAATTGTCGTATCAATAGAATATGAACAGCATTTGTGTCCAATCTAATACCTTGGTTGACTTCAATATTACTGAACAGGTTTCTGTTGTGATAATTTATTGCTTTTTCACTGAATGTTTTTTTCCCCAAAGTTTTATGCTCCTTCTGGTTAATGAGCTTGTTGAAATATTATTGCGAAAAATGAATTGTCTCTATTGTAGTAACTGGAAGTATTTTTTCATATTTTAAGTGAACTTGAACTTTATATATATATATATATATATATATATATATATATATATATAATGTAACTAGAATTGCTGACATCTTTCATTGTTTTCACCGGTATATTATAAAATTTAGATCTACGTCACTTAAGTCAAGGGTGTTTAGAGGAATATACATCCGAAGCCCGTAAACTTGGTGTTCGAGTTGCAGAAAGCAAACTTGTACTCGAGAATACTGTAGCACAACGTTTACATGCAGAACAACGTTTATTTGAAGCCAGAATTGAATGTTCAGAACCATTTGTAGCAACATCACTAAAACCTCAAAATGATCTGTCTACAGAGTTAATTGTTCAGTCTCAGAGTCCCAATAATATGTCAACTTCAGTTTATCCTACCCCTTCTATTACTGCTGGTAAAATAGGAGATCTGGGTGTTAGTGTATTCAAAGATGAAAGTAAGTTAGCTGTTTATTATTATATTTTGGATAAATTAGCTATTTTAGTCCTTAGTTGTCTTCCTACTTCATAATTACAAATTATGTCATATATTCATCTACTTATAGTAAAATCTCATATCCATTCACTTCAGTATTTATATTCACACGTACATATATATACACGTACATGTACATATGTATGTGATCTTATTCATCATAGGTGTATACCATAAACTTGTTATTTATAACATCCCTGTAATTCCAATACATTTATTCAAACACACATGTTCACTACTTCCTTACTTACTGCTTCATTATTGTAGGTTCGAGCAATACTGTTCATCTTGAATAAAATAGACCTATCGGTGATATTTAGGGGTAAGCTGACAATCAATGCACATCGTTCTATTGTCTGTTGTGAAAAAAGAACGAAATTTTGTTTGCATGTATTTTCACAAATGAAGTTGTCGTCTTCTGTAATGTTTGTTTATTTTTTGTAAAGAAAAGTGCATTTTTAAGAGGCCTCTAGTGGAAATTTTAAAATTTATGTTTGATTCAATTGTTCCACACTTAAATATTATTATTTCTGTGTATTTTTTCAATTTTCCCTATTTTAACATTTAATGCATGGTTTCTGCATATTGATTTTTTATAGTCTTGTATGTAATCTTACGTGGTTTTAAAATGCCAATTCTTTTGTAAGGTTAATATTAAACGTTTAATTGCGTTGATTCATTACATTAAAATGAAGCTGGTATGCATAATCATGAATTAGACTATTCAAGTCTTGTTGATATGAGATCGGGATAGATGTCTCATAGTCTTGTCAATCGATTTGTTCTTTCACTTTAACACCCTAACCCTAACAATACTTATTTTTGATGATCCCATTGTATATGCAGAAAATATATTTCTATTCAAAATGTAGGTAATTACACATATTTTCTAACTTTAAAGTGTTGATATCTCATAATCAGTAATAGAAATAGACCGATTTGCTCCTTAATGGACAGATAAACTCAGAGGTGATGTAATTTGGCAAGACAAAAGTAAGTTTTTCGTAAGTGAAACGCTGAAGTTGTTCAACTACCTCAACTCCCCCCTCCTATAACAAGTTTCGAGACAACAATTTACATTTGAGTTAATCAACTGTTTTCAACAGTAAACATTTATAAACTGGGATAACTTTCTTACTTTTGTGTGTCACTTCTGATATCTCTTTACAATAAAAATAGTCTACCGGAAATTTTCATTTATACGGGCTATTCGACACACTAAGTCCCACGTATCCCCTTATTCGTTGTTTATTGCAGTATTCCTAAACGGTCCTGCTGTATAATCTAATCAGGACATAATCGTCTTTTTTAGCTCAAAGTAATCATTACTTGTGTACATATTAATTGAGTCATGCGTTTTTCATGGTCACTTCCTTTATAATCAGAATAGCTGGACGTTTCAATCAGTTAATCAGTCAAATGCAACATAGATATTGTTATGTCTGTTCATCGGTCCAAGTTCCCATGCCACTTCAGCATAGCGAGATGGAATTGTCAAAATAACCCCAGAATAGTATTATTAGTAACAGAATTAGGCAGTAGATTAGATTATACATCAAAGATGCGATTCGAGAAAATACAAATTGCTGAAATAAGAAAAATTTTAAGGAATTCGGAAGCTCAGAATTTGAGGAAGACGAAGAATGGATGTACCTGTGCCATTCTAAGCGAATTTGAGCCATTTCGTTCAAAGTCTTTAACAATTGGTTACGATAATCACACCTTTCCCAACCAGATAGTCTACATCTATTGGCTTGGCTAAGTTCACTTGTCAGTGAATTCATGGACTGATGTCTCGTCTCACCTTGACCGTCCCTAGCTTTCTTTAAACTTACTTCAACACCAGAGAATGTCACCCGTTGCGGTAGTTGGTGGTCTGGAATATGTAACACATGCCCCAACCACCTCAGTCACTGAAGACTTACCACCTTATAAATCGACTTGCCATCCTCACTTAGTACCCTATTCATCCTAACCGAGGCGTTGCTTACTTAGTGGTCCAAAAATACACGAGCTGTTTTTCAGTAAATTGGACTTTTACATAAACAAAGTTTGTTTTTAAAATTCGCTTGAAAAGTAAGTTTTCATTATGTAGTACATAATTCCAGTTTGCTTTTTTCTTTTTTATCAAAGTGATTCGCATGCTGGTGCCAATTAAATTGTAATGTCGATTCCCTTTTAGTTAACTCTTTTATATTTCAAAAAATGATTACTATTTGTTGGCGAGTATTTTCCTGTTTAAAATTAGTTAGAGTCATATAATTCAATGCAATCTATCATTCTCGTTTTCTTAGACATAAAATGGCGATTCTAGACACTTACTAAATTGAAGTAAATATTTGATCTCCACGGGTAAATTTTGTTGTAAACCAATATTCACAAAATGAATTTACATTATATATGTAACAATAATTTTTCGTTGACAAATTATTGCATTTAAAAGAAATAATGATAAAATAGATGCGTGTTGTGTTCAGTGAATATGTGAACTAATATTCTAACATTACTGATAAAAATTCGGACCAACACTTAAGAATTACAAAAATAGAGTTTCAGACAATATCGTAAGTACTGTAAAACTAATCTATTTCCAAATGATTTTTGACCTCCGTATTTGATGAAAACACCAAATGTATGTGATTTTTTATGCTTTTCCATAGCCGATTGACTGTTTTGAGTGAGTCGCTAATGAATTAACTCCAAGAAAATTATATGTAAAAATTCTGAAACGAAAAACATCTGAATAGTCTCTTTTTGGAGGAATCTTATGGATGCTCTAAAGAAAAAAAATAGGATTCGACAAGCGTATTTTTATAAATGATCACTATAAAATTAATTTACTAAAATATTTATAAACTATAGTTTCATAATCTTAGTTCTAGTTTTTTGGACAAATAACGTACGTGTCTTCCCTCTTCGGACAGATTGATTGTCTTAGAAGTCACTGTTTATAAACAATCAAAAGAAAAAAATATAGAATTATCCTTATCTTAGAACGATATTACTATTGTTTTGTTATAACTGCAAAAAATTAATTCTCTTAGTTTTTACTCGTTTGCCCGTAATTGTCGTATAGATTATCTCATTCCCTCATTGTATCTATTGGTTTATCAATCCCGATGAAACGTTAACTCCAAAAGATTATGTCAAGTAATTATAAGAGTAATATATAAGTTTCATAATTCGAAGATGCCATGATATTATACTTCTTTCTTAAAAAACTGACATCACCTGACTATGACAATCAATTTTGAAACGAGGCTGTTTATCTTGGAAATTCGAACTCAGTTAAGTGCAGAATATTTAACCAAGAAATTATGACTTTTAATTACAACAGATATTTGATCAACGATAAAAATTAGAGTCTGATGATAGCCCATGTGACTCTGTGTCTACTCAGTATATTATTGTTGGGCTGTGTAGTTTTCTCGGTTCACTTTAAATATGCATCTACTGGCTATATGGTTTTACCTTGGTGTCTAACACTTGCTCATGTTCAGTGTTAACTAGAGTAGAAGTGGTTTGGAAAAAAAACAGTACAGGATAATCCAAGCCGTTTTGTCAACTCATCGGATCGCCAACTATTTGACTGAAACATGTTTGTAGGTGCAAACTTCCTGGTTCTGATCTGTGCGACCAGTGGTTGAAGGTGTTGACTGATGTAACTCAGATTCGATCACAATATTGCTTTTCTCCCTCCATCGTCCATGTGTACCTTTATTTCCCTCTTTATGGAGCCGTGTTTTCACTATTTAATCTTATTATTATTGATGATATCATTATCATTTATTTTGACTTCAGTATTTATCTTGTTACTTTCATCTCGTTGTGCTGACGTAATATAACACCTTGGGCTAAAGCACGCTAATACCAGCCTCTACCTTAATTATACTTGACTCACAATTAAGAAAGACGTTTTACTTGACTTTCCTGATCTCAATTAAACATTCCCGTGTTTTTTTCTTCTTTACAAAACTTAAATTTTTTGTAGAGTTATCTGTGTGTTGATCGGCTTGTGTTTATTAAATTATCGACACCAATGTAATGTGCTAAATAATGTTTTTCTTCCTGTAAACATTTTCACTAGTTTTTAATAATGTTTATTCCAAGTTTTTCTGGTAATCACTAAGTTTTTTTTTATGTATACATATATTTTAGGCTCTAAACGCAATGAAACTTGTTTCATTCAATTAAAATTGTTTCCTTATGACTATTATTATTATTGTAATTATAATAGTCGACTTTCGACATCAATGAATTTTATATTCAGAATGTACAAAAAGAAATACATTGATTTCCAATTATCCCTTTATTTACTATAAGATTATGAAAGTAGACATGTTTATACTTTCAAATTTCGCGGGAGATACTTTTCAAACTGTATTCCACTTATCATTCATGACAGTTATTTGTGTGAAACAGATTTTTCCGTTTCTTTTTTCTTCTGCTTCTTCAATGAAATATCTGTTAATGCACGTTTTCAGTTGAATTGATATTTACGTAAGTTTAAACAAATGTTTACAACGATTATAAAAGTTTTTCAAGATTTACTCGATATCATATATAACAATAAGTTGCTGACAATAAAAATAAGAACTTGTGGTATATATAGATATATTAATGAAATACAGTTCTGTTCATTATATGTTCCTTAGGATAGAATCTTAAGGCAGGCTGTATATATATATATATATATATATATATATATATATAAACCATCGTGGTAATGTTAGGTAATAGACCTCTAGTGTTTAAGTCGCCCATTTACAACTATTGCGGTTTGTTTTTCCGTGTTTATGTCATATATTAGTTTAATTTGTCAGCATTATACTCTGACACATATCTGTTATCAACATCATAAAAATTAATACACACTTGATAGATTTATCTCCATCTTGTTTAGGAAGAGACTGCATACATTATTGTAGCTGGAGAACAGTACCAACAAATGTCTTCTGCTTTTCAAATTGACTAAATTCCGTGTTGATGAAGTTTATTTACTCAACCAACCGATATTATTGTCACTTTTAATGTTTCTGATTAATCGAGAAAGTATAATGGAATATAGAAACAAAAAAATACACCTAAAAAATCTACAGGTGTACAATGTATTTCTTATTCTAATGAAGTTATTGTATTTAAAGGATTTACTTTTAATTTGTAAAATAGTTTCAACTTTATAATCAATATGTAAAATAAACTAAATTGAAATTTTCTATACATTTATGTTATTATTAAGTAAATTACCGAATTGTCACCAAAAATGATCGTTAACTACTTAGCACTGAAATCCTTCTATATTTAGTAATTGGTCCTCTTAATTTCTTTTCCTTTTTTTTAAAGAATTATCAATCATCCTGTCAACTTCATCTGCATATCTCCATAAAATATACAATCGTACAGAGAATGAATGGATGCAAAACCCATTGATGGGTCCAATTTCCTACTCTCTCGATGCATTATATCCCTTTTAACACTATATTACTGTCCTATGTGCCAAGCTGTGTAATAAATGATTACATTGTGTAAAAAAACCATTTCTTTGTTCTTGTTAACCTATTTTATTTCTCAAAAAGTCATTTATTTGCCAATATATATATAATGCCTTTGTTAGAAATTTTTTCAAATAATAGCTTCAATCCTCTGTATTTTCAATAATATACATATTTATTATACTTTCTCTTTAGTAGTATTTAGCTTTTGAAACCTTTTCCCCTTGATCATAACCGTCATTCTTACCAGTCTATTTATTTATTTGTCTATGTGAATTTCTTTTTTAATCTTACATTGACTACACAAACTAATTGAGTTTCATTCGTTCAATTAATTCGAATTTCATTGTTACCACTTTTGGCTCAAACTATTTGTTGTTATTTTTCTGTGTGTTGTATGTGTTTATAGAGCAGTATGGTAAAATTACTATGCACCATACATTTATCTAATAATCCTTTGTTTTTTCATGCAACGTCATTGTTTTTTTTTCTTTAATGATTTGTTGTTTCCCTTTATTCACACAGGTTAATAAGTTAATGTCTTTCAAAAAAGTTGTTGTTTTTTTGCCGCTCCAATCTCATTCATAATACTTGTACAATTTAATTAATTTGTTTACCTTGTAGTTAATCATTATAAATATTTTTTTTCTATGATAGTTGTTGCTCATATATTTGTCTATTATCATTGACTTTTTCTAACACTTTTTCTCTCTCACTTTCTTACATACATCATCTACCTTAATCATACTGATTTTCCAGCTTGGTCGGACTTTTATTCCCTATTATTATATATTCTGTTCACTTATCTATCCGTTTGTCTCATATACTAAGTAATAATTATTATTTGTATATAAAACAATTTTGTCATGTGAAAATCGATTTTATTCTTTTCATTTCTCCTACGTTTAATTTATGCAACTTTCTTTAAGTGTAGTGCTGTTTCTTTACATATTTATGTTAAATTTGTCTAACGCTTATTGACCCTTCACATAAAACTTGCGTTAGGTAAAACAAATTAATTTTGCGGTAATAATATCGTTAATACTCTTACTCTCTCCCTTTGTTGTTATCATTAGTGTTGTTTTTTTCTGTCTCGGTACAGTACTGATTATTTTTATTGTCTAAGCAACAACTCTTTCCGGTTCTGTTATTGCCAGTTGTCTGATGAACTATGTGCGATTTATTTTGCATGTTTATATCAATTAAATTGTGTTTTGTTCCTTGTTTCTCGCCTCCCCTCTTCTCCCATTGATCATTAGTTTCAGAATATGCTGAATTTTTCTTATTTTTCTATTATCCTGCCCCCCCCACCTCAACCCTATGTAATCTGAAAACGTATTGAATAAAATGTGTCAGTAAACTATAAAAACCGTAAAGATTATTTTAAAAAAACCTATTGGCTTTGTTTTGAGGTAAAAGAATTTCCATTTAAGTTTATTATCAAGAATATCATAGTTACTTGCTTTGTTGTTCCTATTATTATTTTTAAAAAAAACACAATCTGTAGTCCCTCCCTTATTTCCTTTACCGTTCCCCGCCAGTCTTCATATTTGTAATTTTTATTGTGCTTCTTGCCGTGTGGTTTGCTTTAATTGATATGACTTTTTAAATTTTAGTTTTATTTACGAAATTAAATTAACATGGATTAATTTTTCTGTTTGCTGTTTACACATATTTATTTTTAGTTACAAAAAATAATCATAATCAAATGATAACTGCTTCATGTAAAAAGAAATAATCAGAAAGAATAGAATAAATGTATGATTTGATTATACTTTTGTTGAAATTGTTGCAAACATTATATATTTATTAAACCAGTAATTATTATTATTATTATTATTATTATTATGTTTGTTTGATCATTCGACTTGCTCCTTATAATTTTGTTCTTGAGAAGAAAAAAAATATTAATAGAGGTGTATTTTGAAAGAATTAAATCTATTTCGTGTGATATATTAACTGGTTGATGTTTTTATAACGATTAATGAATTTTAGGGTAAGTAGTGTTAGTTCTATTTTCGATATATCGTTTTGTTCAGTGTGTCAGTCATGAAAAACGTAGAGCCATATCACATTCACCAAGTATGTAATGTTACAATATTTTAACGAAATTTCTCTACCTTTTGTGCATTAAATGAGAGTTTCCTTTGATACAAGGTATAGTGCTAACGGATAAATCATTGTGTAACACATTCTATTATAGTTAAATTGATGTCTGGTTCTCAATGAATTTAACTTAATCTTCACGAAGGTTTTAATTCAGTCTTTCTAATTTTACCGAAATGTCAGTCCCATCGTTAAAAAAAACTTGAGATATAATTCATGATATTTGTTACAGGTTCGGGCCTATCCTCATCTACTTCGGTTCTGGTAACCAAGTAATATCAATGATGGTCTCTTCCTTAAATGTAAACAATATGTTTATGTAATACATTAGAAAACAACTTCCTATTATAATATATACAAAAACGTAGGAAGTAGACTTTTGAAACATTTAACGTGTATGTGTGTTATTCTGTAGAAATCTTTCAGATTGTTTTTTACCAATGAAACCAAAGTATCCGAAACAAACCTCCATAAAACTATTAATAGGATTACATAATGAGAAGAATATGTTGTTTCTGTTAATATCCCACCTGTTCTTGCGATACTATTATACTTTCAAAAAATTCTTTTGAATTGTCCGCATTTGATCAAGTTGAATATTATAGTAGTATATAGGTATTTTGTCAAGTTATTGGTTACTTAGCTCAGTTATAACAGATATCATTAAGATATGAATACAAAAGTATCATTTATAACACCCTAACATAACTTGTAAATAAATAAATAACACCAAATGTTATGAGCAGTTATACATCCAACAATATTTGGTTGCGAATCGTTATATTTCTAGGTTTATAAAACGTAATCTATGTTATCTTTCAGTTGTATTGAAAAATGCAACTTCAATTCTATGAACTGTGATCATAGTTATCAGAAAACAGGACCGGGAATTGTGAGTAACAGCTACTGGGTGTGCTCTTACATTGATTTATTGGGGAAATCGTCAACTAATTTTTAGTTACCCGGGATGTGACTCCGATTGGGTCGTATGAATTTTATTGAAATATACATGTCAATCCTCGTATATAATCATCGACTTAAATCGCGTTGGTGAATAATGGAATTAAAAAGGTCGAGTGCGAGAATGGATTTTTGAATACGTATATTTTATACACTCGTTGATCGAGACAGGCGGTCAGCGAAAGAAACGAAGAATGTGAAGTGAAACGGCGTGCACTGGAGAAGACATATAAGCCAACTTCATTCAATCAATCGTTAATCAATACTTATAGTCACACAAAAATAAGGTGCAGACATATGATGATTAATATAAGATGTACACACACATACGCTTATATAAAAACAGGGTTGATAAGTGAATAATTAACAAGGTCAAAACGTGACTCAAGAAGAATGGATAAATTGGCCTGTTCAGAAGCTAGAATAAGTTATATGTACTTAGCATAGTAACTGACACTACAAATTTTCATCGAATGCAGCTAAAGAGGCACAGTCCATTAATTTTGAAAGCAATGTGATTAATTGTTTGTTTAATTTTATTTATAAATAACCACATTAGAAACTCACTTCACATATATATTTAACAGATCATTTATTTATATATCGTATATATTTCATTAGCTGGTGAATTTTTTCATGTCTATATATAGATTCTTTTCACAAATCATGTCGGCATTTCAATTATACTTTAATATGATTATACATATTCTGCAAATAAATTCAACAGACAAAAACATTTTGTTCTCAGGAGTATTTCATTTGAGTGAAATTCTCCTAACAACTAATTTAGCATTACACTATGATTTCTTCATAACTCATAATTTTCTTCAATGATCCGTCCACTTTTCTCATTTTTATTATCCATGCATAGAGTTTCTGTTTATTAGTTCTTTCTGTATTTCTGAAAGCTAGTGTTTGTAATTCCAGCTACAGAAAAATCTTATATAAATAATCCAATAGCTCAGTGGTAACGCCCCTGACTGTGAAACTGGGTGACAGGGGATCAGATTCATCAGGCAGCATCAGTTCCCTCAAGTATCATGAAACCTAAGTCCTGGATTTCCTGTTGACAACCTTCAACCATCATCTTATCTCAACATAATGCACATCATGTTGACTCACTTTGACTGGTGGCCACACTGCAACTTGGTCGATTGGATTCGATCTACACTAAGAAGGACCTGACATGCATGACGTTGATCATCACCCAGTGACCAATCAATTGTAAAATAATCCAATCACTTGTGACAAAATTTATCATTGATGATATATTTAGTCATAAATGTTTCTAAGTTTATTCAGATACGTATGACGTACTCAGAAAAATATACAATACAATATTATGAGAAACAAGATTTATTGATTTAAAAGCTAATAAACATTAGAGAAACTGGTTTTCAGTAGATGTTTTCGGGAAAATTTGATTTATGAAGTTGATTATTGTGAATATCTTCTCAATTCATCAAGAATGAAATGAGACATAAATTTTTCAAACTATCGAAAGTAATACTTTTCTGAATCTACGAATTTGCGGCTTTAATTGATGCAATTTTAATAAGTTTTCGAAAATGGTGAATAAATATCTTCCAGATGTTCGGTGTACAGTACACTGCCGTATTAGTGAACAAACAAATATTTTATAAAAACAAAACTGTTAAGCTTGTGTTAAGGTGTCTTGAATAAGAAAGCTGAACTACTTACCATCGCTAATAACCAATATGTCTGTGAATAAAAAGAAGTACAATGTATAGTCACCACTCGAATTCATAAAATGCACAGTTCTCTTATTTCACCTTTTACGTTTGGTAATCAACCATTACAATATTTCACCAAATACATGACACTACTTTAAATTGTGAAGTAGTATAGATGGCTTAGGGATTTTTTCATGTTCTAAGTCTGTCGACACCTATAATGAATTCTGAAGGGAAAAATAATCTGAGAAGTTAGCGTAAGTATACTAAATCTAATAAGTACCAATAACATCAACGAATTGTTTATTGCCGAAATTTGACCATAATATCAAGACAGTTCTCATTTCAACAAAAGAAACTCACTGCATCGCTGATGAAATTATGTTAATTTGAAAATGAATATTTTCTTGTCAAGGATATCGTCTACTGAAACTGCATAACCGTATTTACAGTAATTAATCATATATATTATTTTGGTGAAAAAAGAGCTTCCATTATCCAACATTCAAGTTTTATTAGCGTTCAATGATGTAAAGGTTTAAGAAGAATCATAAAGTAAAAATTGTCGTATAAGATACAAGTATTCACTTGAATAGTATGCATAACATGGATAATCAATTGAAAAACTTGAGGTGATAACTGACGATTCATAAATATGAGCTGATTGGTAGAGGGTCTTATAGACTAGTCGCCGACTATGGAAGATTATAATTTTGAGTTGGAATGGGAATAAGAGAGTTTGGACGTTCTGCTTTTGCAATAAGTGTTCAGCTACGAACCACTGATTTGTTAAGGGGTTTGGGGTTCACAAGATCTTTTATTGGTGATCCTTTTGAATCCAATCAAACCTGTTGTTAGTTTACCAACTAGTTTTAGAATCCATTAATTTAATGTTTAAATGGTTTGAGTGAAAAAGAGACCACAACTTTTTTTATCTTCTTATCTCAACTCCGTGGATTAGTTTAAGATAGACATTAACACCGCTGGATGCCGTCCAGTTTAGTGGTCTAGATGTTAAGCGTTCGTGCACGAAACTGGTCATTTATTTTTATGTAATTCTAATGAATTCATAGTTTGATTGTGGGTTGAACTTAGTAGTTGGAAACTGTGAAACACTTGATAACTGTTTCATCCTGCCCGGTATGGAACTCTACAGCAGACCACATCCACTACTTTAGAACCTTTATTTCTCATGGCGAGCATTTAATTGTCAGATCACTAAACTGGCATCCAATTATTTATATTTTTAGCTTCAGTAAATTTGCAACATTATGCGATCTTCATCATTTACCATTGGGGGGATATCATCTATGTGGTTGAACTAATCAAGTTAGACTTTTTCCAGAATTCCAGGACTTACCTCTGAACAGTTTTCACTAGTGAGAATATGATTATTATTAAATAAGACGTTTAAAAATAGCGTTGTTTTTTTACCTATGCTTATTGCTAGACACTGAATTCTAATAGAATCTTTTGAATTATTTCTGGAGAAAAATTGTTTTATATTAATATAGTCAGCTATATACTTATAATAATTTAAAATCATAGTAAAAGCACTGAAATCAATGTACATACTTTCACTTTTTGATGTAGTTTTGTTGTGACTATGTAGAATCCAAATAACTGATTCAAAGAAATATTCACACATACTTTTAACCTACACTGCTCCTAAAATAATAAAATGAACAGGTTAATTGATTAAATAGCCGCTTATTTTCACCATTCTACATCCATACTATATAGATTATTTAATATTTTACACTAGAAAGCATCTAATTGAGTCATGTTTAAGATTAATTAGATATGTGTAAAGTATGTGGGATGATACTTAAATTATCTTTAATAATATAACCTACGTAGAAAAAGTTCCATATTATTTCTAAAATTGTCTTTTTGTAACCATTTCAGTTTTAAGAAAAATATCATTCAATCATCCTTTCGAAATGTAACATCAGAAAAACAAATACAGAAATTTAACTTGAAATGAATAACTTAAGGATTTCTAGAGAAAAGTGTTGAATAAGACTGATTTAATTTTTTTTCTTTTAAGAACATTCTAAGACAAACTAACGAGGACGTTCTATTGTAT